TGGGTTAGTTAGATTAGGTTAGGTCAGGTTAAGGGTTAGGTTGGGTCAGGTTAAGGGTTAGGTTAGGTCAGGTTAAGGGTTAGGTTAGGTTAGGGGTTAAGGTCAGGTTTAGGGTTAGGTTAGGTCAGGTTAAGGATTAGGTTAGGTTAGGTTGGGTCAGGTTAGGTCAGGTCAAGGGTTGGGTTGGGTCAGGTCAGGTTAAGAGGTTAGGTTAGGTTAGGTTAAGGGTTAGGTCAGGTTTAGGGTTAGGTTGGGTTAAGGTTAGGTTAGGTCAGGTTAAGGATTAGGTTAGGTTAGGTCAGGTTAGGTCAGGTTGAGGTTAGGTTAGGTCAGGTTAGGATTAGGTTAGGTAGGTCAAGGGTTAGGTTAGGTTAGGTTAGGTCAGGTCAAGGGTTAGGTTAGGTGAGGACGCAGGCAAACACGGGCGCTTATAAGAGACCATAACTCATACGTTACCTCATAAGACCCTGAAGTTGGTGTCTGTCTCATCTACCAACTCCCTTAACGTGGGGGGCGAGGGAGAGGAGGGATGGAAGATGTTTCATTAGGGTAAACAAAAAGTGTCACATCTACCCTCCCCACAGATCACCACCCCCCCTATCTTATCTTGCTGGCCTGTCACCCGCATATCTCATACCCCCCCTGTGTGTGAGAGAGAGAGAGATAACAACAGAATATAGCATCAATAACAGTAGCAGTAATTTAGAAAGGAACAGTAACAACAGTAGAAACGTCAATAGCAGATGTCGTGTAGTGAGCAGGAGCAGGAGCAGGAGCAGGAGGGGGAGCAGGAGGAGGTTGACCAACATCACGAAGGACAACATCGATATTCACACACGCTGCTCTCAGCTGACGGCCAGCAAGTGGTGGCTCTGCTTCTGCCTGGCCTGCACCCTCCCGCCACCGCCGCCGAAGAGACGTTAGCCACACCGCCACCGACACCCTTCCAGGCGCCATCCACCACCACCACCATTGACGTCATCCTCAACAAACCCCGCCCCCGCCCCCACCACCTTCACCGCCACCTTCACCGCTACTGAGGCGTCATCACAGGATCCTGAAAACCACTGTCTCACGCGGGGTGGAAAGCGAAAGACTGGTCCCAACCGCGGCAGTAGGTCACCTGGGAGAATGGGTTGATCCGTGGGTGAATGGGTTGATCCGTGGGTGAATGGGTTGATCCGTGGGTAGATGGGTTGATCCGTGGGTGAATGGGTTGATCCGTGGGTGAATGGGCTTGATCCGTGGGTGAATGGGTTGATCCGTGGGTGAATGGGTTGATCGAGGGTGAATGGGTTGATCCGTGGTGAATGGGTTGATCCGTGGGTGAATGGGTTGATCCGTGGGTGAATGGGTTGATCCGTGGGTGAATGGGTTGATCCGAGGTGAATGGGTTGATCCGTGGGTGAATGGGTTGATCCGTGGGTGAATGGGTTGATCCGTGGGTGAATGGGTTGATCCGTGGGTGAATGGGTTGATCGTGGGTGAATGGGTTGATCCGAGGTGAATGGGTTGATCCTGGGTGAATGGTGATCCGTGGGTGAATGGGTTGATCCGTGGTGAATGGGTTGATCCGTGGTGAATGGGTTGATCCGTGGGTAGATAGGTTGATCCGTGGGTGAATGGGTTGATCCGTGGGTGAATGGGTTGATCCGTGGGTGAATGGGTTGATCCGTGGGTGAATGGGTTGATCCGTGGGTGAATGGGTTGATCCGTGGGTGAATGGGTTGATCCGTGGGTGAATGGGTTGATCCGAGGGTGAATGGGTTGATCCGAGGGTGAATGGGTTGATCCGTGGGTGAATGGGTTGATCCGTGGGAGAATGGGTTGATCCGTGGGTGAATGGGTTGATCCGTGGGTGAATGGGTTGATCCGTGGGTGAATGGGTTGATCCGAGGGTGAATGGGTTGATCCGTGGTGAATGGGTTGATCCGTGGGTAAATGGGTTGATCCGTGGGTGAATGGGTTGATCCGTGGGTGAATGGGTTGATCCGTGGGTGAATGGGTTGATCCTGGTGATAGGTTGATCCGTGGGTGAATGGGTTGATCCGTGGGTGAATGGGTTGATCTGGTGAATGGTTTTCGTGGGTGAATGGTTGATCCGTGGGTGAATGGGTTGATCCGTGGGTGAATGGGTTGATCCGTGGGTGACTGGAATGTATAATTTTTATTCAATAACTGTATTTTAATAAGTAATTTATATATAAAGATAAATTACAACAACAAGCAGAGTGGTGAGTGAGTGAGTGGTGCGTGAGTGAGACAAATGGTGAGTGGTAGTGAGTGCGTGAGTGGAGTACATATTGGGTAGGTAGTTAGTGGTGGTGGTGAGTGCGTGGTGAGTGGTGGTGAGTGCGTGGGTGCGTGGTGGTGCGTGGTGAGTGAGTGCGTGGTGGTGAGTGCGTAGTGGGTGCGTGGTGAGTGGTGAGTGAGTGCGTGAGTGGTGCGTGGTGGTGAGTGCGTGGTGAGTGCGTGGTGGTGGTGCGTGAGTGAGTGAGTGAGTTACATTAGATTACGGCTGTTGTGTGTGTGTGTGTATATTTGAGTGTTTTGTGTGTGTGTGTGCATGTCTGGGTGTATGTGTGCGCTAATATGTGTGTGTGTGTATACAGGTGGATTGTGTGTGCGTGATCGTGTTGACACAGACCTGGCAGCCGTGTGTGGATAAGTGGATGAAACATTAACAGTGTGGCCAGGTGGTGAAGATAATTAGTGGGGGCAATACCTGGGCCTTTAGCTCAGGTAAATATTATCATGGCAATATAACCTTTATGGTGCCAGAATAACCATTAAGCGATGGTGGTGGTGGTGATGGATGGTGGATGGTGGTAGTAGTGGTGGTGGTAGAGGTGGTGGTGAGTGGTGATGGATGGTGGATGGTGGTAGTAGTGGTGGTGAGGTGGTGGTGGTGGTAGTGGGTGGAGATGGTGGTAGTAGTGGTGGTGGTAGTGGTGATGGGTGGTGGCAGTGGTGGGTGGTGGATGGTGGTAGTAGTGGTGGTGGGGTGGGTGGTGGCAGTGGTGATGGGTGGAGGATGGTGGTAGTAGTGGTGGTGGTAGTGAGTGGTGGTGGTGGCAGTGGTGATGGATGGTGGATGGTGGTAGTAGTGGTGGTGGTAGTGATGAATAGTTGATGGTGGTGATTGATTGATTCCAATGGCCCCCAGTACTAACCAAACTCAACCAAACCTACCCCCCACCCACACCCACCCACACCCACCCCACACACACACCACACACACACCCACACCCCACCACCCACACACCACAACACACCCACCCACCCACACACACCACACACCCACCCACCCCCACCCACCACACCCACCCACCCCACACACAACACACCCACCCACCCACCCACCCCACCCACCCCACACACACCACACCCCACCCACCTACCCACCCACCACACCCCACACACACACCACAACACATCCACCCACCCACACACACCACAACACACCCACCCCACCCCACCCACCCTCCACACCCCACCCACCCCACCTTAACCTGACTTACTGTAACCAACACCAATTCTTTCCTCGGCTCTTGACACTCGACCCCAACACCACACCCGTACCCCCAACACCCACACCCCAGCCACCCCAACACACACACCCCAGCCACCCCAACACCACACCTACCCCCAACACCACACCCCGGTCACCCCAACACCACACCCCGGCCACCCCAACACCGCCTTCGAGTCTTGGACAGTATTAAATCGGCCACCCCAACACCACCCCAGCCACCCCAACACCACACCCCGGCCACCCCAACACCACCCCGGCCACCCCAACACCACACCCCGGCCACCCCAACACCACACCCCACGGCCCCCCAACACCGCCTTCGAGTCTTGGACAGTATTAAATCATGTTCTGTAATAAGCCAGGCGTCTGATGGGTCAGGTCAGGTCAGGTCAGGTCAGCGACTGTGATCACCTGTCTTGCCTCAGGTGGGACAGTGGAGGGTGACGTCCAGAATCCTCGCCTTGTTGGTGACGTCCATCGTGGTTTGTTTCCGCTCCCCACGAGACGTTTGTGTTTAATGTTTGTGTATGTATGACTGTATATGTGTGTGTGTATGTATGACTGTATATGTGTTTGTGTATGTATGACTGTATATGTGTGTGTGTATGTATGACTGTATATGTGTTTGTGTATGTATGACTGTATATGTGTTTGTGTATGTATGACTGTATATGTGTTTGTGTATGTATGACTATATGTGTGTGTGTATGTATGACTGTATATGTGTTTGTGTATGTATGACTGTATATGTGTTTGTGTATGTATATATGTGTGTGAGAGAACCAGCTGTCAGACACAACCTAGGAAAAAATATTGACAAATAAACAAATAAAACAAATTAATAAAAGTCAGTGTAGCGTTACTCAACCTGTGCAGGTGAGGTGGGGGAGGAGGAGGAGGAGGGGGAGGAGGAGGAGGAAGGAGGAGGGAGGGTGAAGGGACGGAGTGGTAAGTCACCCTTTAGGGAGGGGAAGGAGGGATGAGGATAAGTAGAGAAGGAAAGAGAATAGAAGGAAAAAAAGAAGGAGGAAGAACGAAGGAGGATATATATGTTTGTTCCTGTGTTTGTTTACGTCTGTGTATTAATATCACCACCATCATTATCATCATCACCACCCCATCATCATCATCATCACCACCATCATCATCATCATCATCATCATCCACCACCATCATCATCATCATCATCATCATCATCATCATCATCACCACCATCATTATCATCATCATCACCACCATCATCATCATCATCATCATCATCATCATCATCATCATCATCATCATCAACAACACGTGTCCATATATATATACTGTTAATGAATATGATGTATTTCTTTGTGTATGAACCTCTGTCCTGCGTGGCGGTGAACAGTGATGCCACCCTCAGTGTCAAGACCTCACTGAATTACTCACAATAGGCAAACTCTACTACAAGTTTTATCAATATATTTGTTAAACTTATAAAACCTTTTCTCCTCTACAGCGGGAACAGCTGAGCTTTGAGGTCAACACAGAGGGTCTCCCGCCTGATACAGCCGCCCTCCTCGACCAGATCAAGCAGGTAGGTCTGTCTCTCTCTCTCTCTCTCTCTCTCTCTCTCTCTCTCTCTCTCTCTCTGTCTGTCTGTCTGTCTGTCTGTCTGCTCTGTCTCTGTCTGTCTGTTTGTTTGTTTGTTTGTGTCGATTTAGGAGGGAGATGGGAAGGAACTGGTTCACAAATAGGGTGGTGGACGAGTGGAACAAGCTTAGCAACTTTGTAGTAAGTGCTGGAACGCTGGAAAGTCTTAAAAGGAGGCGAGATAGATTCATGGATGATAGAGAGTGGTAGTAACTCTCGACAGCAGCTGTGTGTGTGTGTGTGTGTGTGTGCGCGCTATTATCAGTGTCTTGATTTATCCGCTATTATCATTTTCCTTCCTACTCCTCCTCCTCCAATTGTTCCTCTTTTCCTTCATTACCCCTTCTTCCTCCTTCTCTCTCACCACCTTCACTATCTCCTCTCTCATTTCCCTCCTTCTCACATCATATTCCCCCACATAAGTTTAATCTTCAGCTCGAGACCATCAAATACATTCTCTTATCTCCAGTTAAGAGGAAAAAATCACGTAAGGTTCTTTGAGAATCTGTTATCAGGTCCAAGATTAGGTCAGAGGTCAAGATAAGGTCAGAGGTCAAATATCAAGATAAGGTCAGATGTCAAGATAAGGTTAGAGGTCTCTTTTCTATAAGTGGGATTTAAGTTGAGGCTGTGTGTTTGTGTTTGTTTTTGGTGAATCCGGATTACCTGAACTCGAGACCCTGGATTCTGAAAGGATTTATGACAAGAACGCATCGATTTATACTCTGTTAAGTTGGATTTTTTATGATTATTGGGTTAGGTTAGGTTAGGTTAGGTTGAGTCTCTGGTGCAAATTGGCAGCCATTTTGGCGGCCATTAACTGGATGTCCTGGTGTAATTGAAGCCATTTAAATGCATTGTCGCATCTGCAGTTAATGGAAGGAAATATAGACTTGTGGAATAGTTAAGACGTTGTAGGTTAGGTTAGCGTTTGGTAAGGTTAGGTTAGCTTTTGGTTAGGTTAGGTTAGTGTCTGAGGGAGTTAGATTAAGGTTCATTTCGTGGATTTAACTTAAGACACAAAAGATTGATTGAAGATTAAACACCCCAGTTTATTTCACCTGAAGATTATAACCAACCTAACCTAACCTAACCAACCTAACCTTTAAGAATCTCTACGTTATGGGGGACAGGCTGGTGGTTAATATCGCGTTAACGCCTAGAGGGGATGGTTAACGCTGAAATGGGATGGTTAACGCTGAAGTGGGATGGTTAATGGGGCTAATTTGGGTTCGTTTGGGTTCATTTCGGGAATAGATTGGGTTAATTTGGGTCGAGAGTGGCAGGCTGTTGTGGTGTATGGCTGCGACCACACACACACACACACACACACACGACTCTCGCGGGTTATCGACCATTCAGGCGGGTGGCGGCTGCTGCTGTTCACTGTCATCGTTCGTTGGAGATGTTGTCGTTTCAGATGTGTATATGTGTGTGTGTGTGTGTGTGTGTGTGTGTGGTGGGTGGGTGGGTGGGTGGGTGGGTGGGTGGTTATAAATCCTTGAGAGTGATGGGTGGAAGTAATGGGTGGAGGTGGCCGGGGTCGATATGCTTGGTGGAGGAGGATGAGGGTGGAGGATGAGGGTGGAGGATGAGGGTGGAGGGTTACATCACACAGCTTATGGGCGCCACACGTCCTGTATACCCTTTGTCTGGCTGATATCTTCCTCCCCTTCTTCCCTCCCTCTTTCATTTCCTCTCTTCCATCAAACCTTCCCCTCCCTTTCTTCCACCCTCCCTCCATCCATCCCTCCATCCCTCCCTCCATCTTTCTCTCCTTCCTTCCGTCTATCCTTCCGTCTATCCTTCCGTCTGTCCTCCCGTAGACAAATTGCTTCCTGAGGGTAACTGAAGCTGGCTCTCACCTCACCCCCCTTGGTTGACAAAGAAAGATCCTTATTGATCCTTGGGGGTCAGAGGTTAAGGTAACAAGGGTCAAAAGTTCTGGCGTCAGAGGTCAATAAGGTCACATAAAAGTCAATAAGGTCATTTAGAGGTCACATGAGGTTACTAAGGTCATGTAGAGGTCATTAACTTCACATAGAGGTCATATAAGCTCACGTAGAGGTCACATGCGGTCACTAAGATCATGTAGAGGTCATTAACTTCACATAGAGGTCATATAAGCTCACGTAGAGGTCACATGAGGTCACTAAGGTCTGGTGTCTTTATCTGCAGGTGGCGGAAGATGTGCTCTATCACTGGAGGACCTTCCCGCTACACCTGCCCCCGCCCGTCGCCGTCCAACACGACTCTGCCTCCTCAGGTACGCCTTCCCAGGTCATTGTGAGTTACTACAGGTCAGTAATCCGTCAGGCAGGGTCATGTAAGAACAGTATGAGTCACTACAGGTCATTAGTCCGTCAGGTAAGGTCATGTCAGATCATTATGAGTCACTACAGGTCATCAATTCGTCAGGTAAGGTCATTGCAGGTCATTATGAGTCACTACAGGTCATCAATTCGTCAGGTAAGGTCATTGCAGGTCATTATGAGTCACTACAGGTCATTGGTCCGTTAGGTAAGGTCATATCAGATCATTATGAGTCACTACAGGTCATTTGTCCGTCAGGTGGTGTAATTCCAGGTCATTAGGTCATTATGAGCTACTATAGGTCATCAATCTGTCAGGCAAGGTCATATCAGGTCATTGTGAGTCACTACAGGTCATCAGTCTGTCAGGTAAGGTCATTATGAGTCACTACAGGTCATTGGCATATCAGGTAAGGTTCATGTCAGGTCATAGGGTCATTGAAAGTCATGTTAGGTCATCAATCCGTCAGGTAAGTATTATTATTATTATTATTATTATTATTATTATTATTATTATTATTATTATTATTATTATTAATTATTATTATTATTATTATTATTATTATTGTGTGTGTGTGTCTCAGTCGCCGTAAGAGTCAGGGTGTTGGTGTAGCTGAAGAAGAAGAAGAAGAAGAAGCATTAAGTCAGCACACGAAGACATAATACTACTTCTTCTTCTTCTTCTGTCTCTTCTTTTTCTCACAGGAAACTTCGGCGTCGTAGAGTTGGGCCAAGGAAGAGAACCAGGAAGAGGAGGAGGAGGAGGTCAACTACACTAAAATAAAACATTCATTCTTCTTCTTCTTACAGGAAACTTCGTAGGCGTTGGTAATGGAGGAACAGGTCTTGGTACCGGAGGAGGAGGAGGACCAGGAGGAGGAGGAGGAGGAGTTCGAGCCAAGCCTCTAGTACTGAGAGATGTGTTCGTCGTCCCCTCCTTCGACGAGCTGGATGCCGTGGCTGTTGACTCAAAGGGTGATCCACGCCGCTTGTCCAATCACCATCTTCACTCCATCCGTGAGAAAGGGTGAGTGTTTGGGCGCGGGGAGAGGGAGGGAGGGAGGGGTTGGTGAGAGGGAGAGGAAGTGAAGGGAAGGGGTTGGTGAGAGGTAAAGGGAAGAGGTGAGGTCGGGTTGATGAGAGGGAGGAGGAAAGGGGAAGGGAAGCTTATTGAAAGGGAAGAAAAGTAGAGAGGAAAAGAAGAGGAAGATGAGGGAGAGAGAATAGAGGCCAGGAAAGGGAAGAAGGAGGGAGGCAGAGGGAAGGAGAGAGGAAGGTGATGAAAGGGAGGAAGAAATGTGGGAAGAAAGGGTAGAAGGGGTCTTGGTGAGAGAGCGCGATACAAAGATAATAAAGAGTAATGAAGGAGAGAGAGAGAGGACAAAAAAATAAAAAAAATCGTCAGAGCGAGACATGAGAGGGACCTAGAGAGGGACACAGGTGAGGGGGACCTAGAGAGGGACACAGATGAGGGGGACCTAGAGAGGGGCACTGGTGAGGGGTACCTAGAGAGGGACACAGAGGGAGGGGCAGGTAAGAGTAGCCATCCATCATGTGCCAGGGAGGTGTGAGTATCCCAGGGCTAATCCTCAGAGGGCCGGTGTCACTAACAGCAGCTGGGGCCAAGGGCGGTACATGTCCCTAGACGACCAGCGAGGATCACGCCACACTTCCTCCTGAGACGCCTAATAATAATAATAATAATAATAATAATAATAATAATAAAAATTAACGGTTTATTGAAAGAGCTTGGCAGCCAGAAGGCTGAAAATATACAGTTACATATTTGGGGAATGGGTTTCGAATTACAAATAATATACAAGTAACATAAGTGACACAGATAAGATATATAATAACTAGATGGGGAAAAGCTCAAACTACAGTGCATTTCAACATAGTGACAGTGCAAGAAGTAGTATTTACTGGGAGTGAATACACTGGTTTATTACAAGTTATTGGTGTGTGTGTGTGTGTGTGTGGGTGTGTGTGTGTGTGTGTGTGTGTGTGTGTGTGTGTGTGTGTGTGTGTGTGTGAGACGACGACTCTGTTCTGTTTGAGGGACTGTAACCATATGGAAGATTAAGGAGTGGTCGTAGCTTCAATGATGTGACCACTAATTATGTCATAGTGCCTCCTAACTTGACCTGAACTGACCTAACCTGTGATCTAAGCGTGAATCAAAAGTACAGGTGTAACATAGAGTACAGTAGAACCTCCCCGTCCCTCCCCCGCACCTGCCTCCTCTCCCCTCCACCACACTGACAGACCTAACCTCACACGCTTGTATTGATCACCACCACTACCACACTTACACCTCTTTTGGGTGTACTCTCTCTACCAGCACTACCACACTACCTCTTCTACAAGTATTCTTTCTGGTGATGACGATGATGATGATGATGATGATGGTGATGATGGTGATAGTGGCACTGTTGTACTTCTCCCACCATTACCAACGCCCCCACTGTCACCACTCCTTCCACCACCTCTTCCTTCCACTCCTCCTCAACTTGTTCTTGTTTCTCATCCTCCATCCTCTTCTCTTCCTCCTTTTATCCTTCCACCTCATCCTCCATCCTCTTCTCTTCCTCCTTTTATCCTTCCACCTCATCCTCCATCCTCTTCTCTTCCTCCTTTTATCCTTCCTCCTCCTCCTCCTACATTATCACATATACACTCAGGTCCTCACCCTGCTGTCGTCTCCCTCACACATAAACGGTGATATTTTGCTCCTGTGTGGTACCTTGTATAGTATGTCCTCCTGGCCAGTGTGTGTGTGTGTGTGTTGGCCAGGGTGTGTCCTCCTGGCCAGTGTGTGTGTGTGTGTGTGTGTGTGTGTGTTGGCCAGGGTGTGTCCTCCTGGCCAGTGTGTGTGTGTGTGTGTGTGTGTGTCTGCACAGGTGGCTCCTGGCCAGTGTGTGTGTGTGTGTGTGTGGTGTCTGGCCAGGTCTCCCACAGTGTGTGTGTGTGTGTTGGCCAGGCCCACAGTGTGTGTGTGTGTGTGTGTGTGTGTGTCTCAATAGGTGTCCCCTGGCCAGTGTGTGTGTGTGTGTGTGTGTGTGTTGGCCAGGGTGTGTCCTCCTGGCCAGTGTGTGTGTGTGTGTGTGTGTGTGTGTTGGCCAGGGTGTGTCCTCCTGGCCAGGGTGTGTCCTCCTGGCCAGTGTGTGTGTGTGTGTGTGTCTTGGCCAGGGTGTGTCCTCCTGGCCAGTGTTAAGGCGCAAGATAACTGCTGATGTTTACTGTTATTTTTATTGGCTTGAACAGGTAGTGGGTTTAGTTATGGCACATATAGGTAGTGGGGTTAGTTATAGCTCAAACAGGTAGTGGGGTAAATTATGGCACACAATTAATGAGGTTTATTGTGATGCATTAAAGAAACACTTTATAGATACATATTATTATTATTATTATTACTATTATTATTACTACATATTATTATTATTATTTTTATTATTATTATTATTATTATTGTTATGATGGTGTGTGTAGAGGAAGAAGTAATAATGGTGTTTATTTATGGCGGTGGCGAGTACGAGAACAACTGATAAATAATGATCTTCTGGACGATGGCAGTTGTAGCGTAAAACATTATAAAACTATACGTAGCTGTATTATTTTTGCTTTGCATGCTCCTCCATACCAGCCGTTGTGACATACGTACATACATATTATTGTCCATGCCGGAGTCTCTCTATTTTAACCACCTATATTATTATTCCTGTCTTCTACTTTGATCGAGCAAGACTCATGCATTTGAACTTTTAGCAACTTGTGCAATATAACTGCATCTCACTCTAGGTCTCTCGTAATTGAACCAGATTGATGTTTTATCTAAATTCCATCAAGATTTTAGTATTGAAAAAAAAGTTGTATTGCAAACTATATAAAAAGATGGTTTATCTTGTCCTTTAAAAATTTAACTTTTATCCAAAATTCTTAATTACTAATATAAGCATGTTGTGTGTTCTGCTGACTGACCATTTTCTTACTAATATATGATATGTTCTCTTGGATTATTGACTTTGCAGTAAGTGTCACCTCTGGTCATTTTTAATTACTGATTATTCCCACCTAGTGTTACCTGTAAATATTATCTCATTAATACTCAACACCTGGAGAGTTATGGAAGACATAGCCAGATCTCCCCCTTAAGCAGGCTTCTGAAGCATTAATTAACTGTGAATGAATGTTTGTCAGTTTTTAAAATAAGCTCAGTGGCCATTTTATAAAGTTGACCAGTCAGAGGATACCTCAGGCATCAGAGGGACCTCCTGATTGGCCCCTTTAAGTACTCGGCCAGTTAATGGTCACCTCTGAAGCCAGGGACTCTTCCTGATTGGCCAGTTCATATGGAACTTATTATTACTTAATAGATCTTCAAAAATAATCACTCAATTTGCTTTATATCCCAGTCAAATTAATTTCTTGAAGCTTTCACTAGTTTAATCTTTTTTTAAACAAAATTACCAATATAACACAGTTCAAGTTTACAGTGGCTCACTCCTCTAGTAACTGTAACACAACTTGTAGACAAATAATAAGAGAAAACCTGTCTGTGTCTTAGTTCCTGGTGTTGATGTGGTGGAAAGCCCTCTCTCAACCCTCCTCCCATTCCCCCCCCAGCTACACCTTGATAGCTGCGGCCCTCCATCTACCTTCCCGCCCCCCACCTATACAAATGTAAGGTACACCCGTAATGTTCTCTCCACAGCACACCTCACTTAAAAGTATTAGCCCTCCCCTCCCAAACTCGAGGCTCTACGAAGCTCTTGTTCATGTGTGTGAGATTTGTCTGGGGTACACTTTGTCTGTACTGATGTTGCTAGTTTGTCCCCCTCCCTCCACCCCTTGTGAGGTACCCCTGCTTGGTAAGAGCAGGGGTACCCACATAAATGGTATGGCACCTTGACACACATGCCCGGTACTAATTTTTAGTACTTACACTTGGTACTGACCCCTGATACCAGCACTTGGTACATAAGCTTGGTACTAATTCTTAGTACTGATCTACTGGTGCTAATACCTGGTACTGGTGTGCTGGTATTGTGCCTTTGGTACTGATGCTTGGTGCTAATGTGATGGTATCATTCCTTGCTACTATGCTTTGTACCAACACTTGGTAATACCACTTGGTACTTACATCTGGTACTAATGATTGGTACTAACACTTGGTACTAATGGTTGGTACTGAAGCCTGGTACTAATACCTGGTACTAATGCTTGGTACTAATGCCTGGTACTAACGCTTGGTACTAACCCCCTTTGGTAAGGTTGCATCGGGACAGTCAAGGGAAGCGCCGCCGCCTCAACGATTACCAACTGGAAACTCTGCGACGCTCCGGGTACCGTACTGCTTGTCCTGTTGTCACCCTTCTCACCCTAGTGTCTCTTAGTCATCCTTGTGTCGCTCTTGTCACCTTATTGTCGCTCTAGTCAAAGCCATACTCTGGCTTCTCTACCCTCATGCCATCCTTATTTGGCTCTTTCTCCCCTTGTATCATCCTAGCATGATTCCTTGGTCCTTGTGCAGCCTAGTACAGTACGGTTCATTTTTTATCTCGTCACCAAAGCATGGCTCATTCACCCCTATGTTGTCCCTCGTGGGCTCTCACACACACTTGTGCCACCCCCGAGTGGCTTCCTCACCTTATGGAAGGCATACTATGGCTCCTTTACCTCCCCTAGTGTGTTGCATCTCTCAGGCTGATGTCACCCGTCAATGACTTTTGTTGACCCAAAATGGTTCTTTCACCCTTATATCATCCTGTTGTGGTTTTCCTTCTTTTGTGTTTCCCTCATACTCATGTTACCTTGATGTGGCGCCCTCAACCTTATTTCACACAAGTATGGCTCTCACCTTAACTTGGCCCTCTCACTGTTCAGTCATCCCAAATTGGAACTCCAACTTTCCTTGTGCCTTCTTCTCACCTTCTGTGGCTCTCTCACTCTTTTACTATCTCACCCAGACTCTCCCTCAGTGTTAAAGCCTCTCCCTTAACTCTTCCCTCTACCCCGCTGAGCCTTCCATCACCTGCCTCGGCCTCCACTTCACTCTTGTTTGGTGCTAGAAACTTTCTATCAACTACTCTTATTCCAGCATCCCGGAGTCTGTGCAGGGAGTGTCCAGTGCCCCTGTGTCGCCTCTTGTGGGATAACGTCCCTCTTTATGTGGCTGGACCTGTCCCTCCACACCCAACCCAACCCAACTAACTTCTCCAACCCAACCAACCCAACCCAACCCAACCCAACCCAACCCAACCCAACCCAACCCAACCCAACCAACCCAATCCCAACCCAACCAACCCAAACCAAACCAAACTAAACCAAACCAAACCAAACCAAACCAAACCAAACCAAACCAAACCAAACCAAACCAAACCAAACCAAACCAAACCAAACCAAACCAAACCAAACCAAACCAAACCAAACCAAACCAAACCAACTTAACCTAACCTACCCTATTAGAAACAAACAGTCCTCCTGCCCTCTTATGTGACTATGAATTTCGTCTTTGTGTTCCAATGTCCTGTGCTCTCTTCCCTGCCCAGTCAGTACCAGTGACTATGATAGTTAATATTTTGAAGGAAGTCCACACAACTGGTTCTTGTTATTTTCTTGTGCACACTGTGATGCTGAAATGATGGACTTTGTGTCCCATAGATGGAGTTGGCAATATACAGGGCATGGATCTTGTCTCTCATTGGCCCATACTGTTGGTTGATTGGACAAGAGTTAAGAGACTTTGATGCTGATTGGCTGAAGCTCATATAACTCATTACAGTACTGTATACTACTGACACCTGAATGATTAAATCACCAAATAAAACTACTGTGCACTCGCTTCAAAAGGTATCTTTACGGAGAGGTCTGATGAATTTTAAAATGAACACCACAACTCCTGCTGTTTCGGGAAGGTTATACAAAATCCTTCGTCCACTGTGTCATAATTATTGTCTCACAAAATAGTAAAAATACTTTTTGGAGTGTGTATACATAGATAAGCTCAAGAATATTAATCCAACCTAAGCCAAGTCAATATAACATGACCTCATTAATTGGTGTAAGAGTTTATGTGTAAAGTAGATGACACAGTGCAGGGAGTGAATCTATTCCAGATATGAGTTGGAGAGCAAGTTCATGTCCATGCATATTACAGAGAACATTTTCATGTTAAGGTTATGTGTGCACCGAGTTCTCTGGGATCTGAGACTTAACTTATATTTGGTGTGATTACCACAATCATACCATTTCCCCATTTTGCTTTTATTAGTTCTACTTGATGTCATGTCATGTAGGTATATTCCCTCTGTGTGGGTCCACGTGTCTCATCATAAATCCCTTCTTAAGTTTGAGTGGGTTTGTCAGCATTAAATCACGCGTGTGCCCGAGGACTTATAATCTGTGCTGTGGTAACCCTCGATCATTTAACACAGCTCTTTTGAACTTCCTAATACTGGTACTGGCTGGACGGTGTGGTGCTTTCCAGATGCATTTTCCCACAAGTTCTGAGTTATCAAGCAATTGGGGTGATGGGTAACTCAGGAGATATTTCCCTTGACAACAAACATGGCTTATTCAGGAGTAGCGTCACACACCTGCAGAAAGAAGGATGAAGTGTTTCTCACTCAGTTCCATTTAATGTTGGAAACTGATGTTCTACTGAGGCCACATTTGTTGTGAGAGGAGAATGGAAAATGTGATCTGTTCGTGTCAGTTGTGAGTCATGTCCCGCTTCATACTCCTAACACTCCCAGGCTGGGAACATTGTGTCCTGCAGTCAGTAGATGGAATGTTGCTACTTCTTTACTAAGTCAAGAGTTCCTAGCAAGGATAGTCTCCATGTTGATCTGCTATCAAGGGCAGTGCCCATGTTGAGCTCATAGCAGGGATAGTGCTGAGTAAGTTAGGCTTTTGGGTTATTGGTGGTGTTGCTTCCCAGCTCTTACTGTTGCATGGCAAGGGAAAGAAGGTTTGCATGATGGCCCACACGTGGGGAGAACCACGGCTCCAGACCTTAAGATGCCTGAACCAGAAGCTGCGGCCACTGTGTTAGGTTGTGGTCAACGTGCAGGATTTGATTTTGGTTTTATTCTTGAATATAAAGATGGCAGAAGACACAAGACATCATGAAAATGTCATACATTGTCTTACAGTAATATATAAGTGTTCAGTAATTGTTCTTGACATTCAAATGTTTTTCAGTTAATTTCTTTCAAGATTACTCTTCATTAACCATTAAGAATAATAACAGGGCATTATTATTACTGTAATATGCATTTGAAATAACTTTCATTATTATAACTGGAATTATTAGCCATGTAACATTCAACAACAGAAATACAGTAATATTGCACATGAGAGTACTGTACTGTACTGTACTGTACTGTACTGTACTGTACTGTACTGTACTGTACTGTACTGTACTGTACAAAAAGATACATTGCCAGACTTTGCCACATTAAAATCAAGTCCCGGGATTTTCCACTTTGATCAGCATTGCCAGACTGTGACCATCATGGGCTACAGATTTATGACTTTAACAACCTGTGTTTATTTGGTGGATACATTAGTATATTGTATTGGGAAACATGCAAGACACGGGCAATGTTGACATGATTCCTGGCATGTGTTGCACCTCTGTGTTGGAGTAGTAGTGTGATAGTAACTGTGTAGTGTTATTATGGGGGGTGAATTTCCCTGAAGAATCTGGTAAGTGTCAAGACTGAGATCAAGTTACAGTCCTTTAAACTTATCTTATTATTGTTTTGATAGATAAAAACTCTGTTATCAGTGTGTTAGTGTTTAAAGGTGCTCCCACAGACAGTTACATGTAATTGATTTGTGTTCTGATTGTCCTAAAGATGCACCCACAAACAGCCATAATTAAATTACCGGTACATCTTGTTTGTCTTTTGTACCAATTTAGCTCCGTAATTATTATCCAGTACTGTACAGTGTAAACCACAGTGACTCCAGCACTTATAGGTTAATATTATTTTTTATAGTCAGTGACGTCCACAAGACTACCGAGGACAGTACCAGTCTGTGAACATTGTCTTGTCTTCACAGTTATAATGTTTGTTGTCCCAGGTTTATTATTTGTTTATTACATATTTTTTTTAACATCACAGATTTACTTACATATGCATGTACGTATGGACTTATGTGGTCAGATAACACATGCATGACTACCCTCACACACACCTACCTATAGAGATGTGTACATCAGTCTCATAGTAAAGTTTAGGATCAATATAACACTGTGTACTGTACCAGTAGTGTCACAGGTCATAGACAGTAACCCTCTGTACCTCACATGCTACAACTTGAGCAGCGCACCAGAGGGCCACAGGTGGGCGTGGTAGGTTCCTGCCTGATGACAACACATTGCATGACAATTATATCCATGGCCATTATCCATGGGGTTGCATGCTGTTACCCATATGCCTGGCTAAACCCTTTTCAGTGCTTCAGGGGCATGATGGATGCCTGGTGTTGTGGGGCGGGGGGGTCATGGATGGCTCTCCCCTCAATGTCACACTTTCATAGCTATTGTTCACACTACACTACTGTACTGTACTTAGTCTTGTCAGGAATTATTTACATGAAATATGTTAAGTTTATATCAATATCAGTCAAAAGTGTTGTACTGTATAATCATTATGAACTTTTTTAAGAACAATTTATTGTAAAGAAGTACAGTACATATCATGTTTTTGTATTAGACTACTGTACTGTGCTGTAATAAGTAAATCTTATTTACTACAGGTAATTGCTGTAACTTGGTGAGATATTTCTTGTGCAGTTAATCAATAGGAATTCTTAGAGGTCAATAAATAAGAATAAAAAGGATAGTCTGTTAAGTGAATGATTTGCCTTGTCCTCAGACCAGGTACTGTACTGTACTGGTAGTGTTTGTTTTTGTCTGTGAGATGTAAACAAGTTCAGTACGCTGACAAAAAGAGAGATTTTGTGTATTGCCTGATTCAGATATGAAGTTCCATTCCATGAAGAATAAATATGCATAATATTTCATTTATCTATGATCATGACTGAATGAAGAACAATTTATTATTTGCATATTCTACTTGTGTAAATTCATATACAGTATAACCCAAGAGATAGTCACAGTATATAATCTAGTTAACCAGTGAATTATAATAATTTACATAATGGACTTGGCATCAGTTAGGGTACAAGCATGCCTGAGCTCATCAACATTCCCCAGAGATACAGTACAGTACTTGCCTCAACTTTAGTCTCCCCTGACAAGATGAAATTAATTTGATTAGACTTTCTGTCTCTTGAATGTGGTAAAGCATTTAAGATATTTAATATTTGTCTGATACTTGAAGAAATAATGAATATAATCACCTGGAAACAGAGTGATCATACCACTAACAGTTATTGCCTGCTGTGATGATTCAGGTATGTATTTGTTTTATAGAATATCAGAAAAAAAATCAGTTAACAGTAATTCAAAATAATGGAAGCTTTAAAAGAAATTTATGTCTTGGTTCGTTATAAACAATGACTTAGCATAAACCGTAATGAAGATCAGTACATTAATATTTAATGTGTAGGTCAGGAGTGTGAGGCTTCATCACCCACACCTGTCAGGCATCAGGTTCCTGCACCCCTGCATCCATATCTCTGGGAGGGACTTACTGTATTACCCTAATTACAGTAATGTGTTCTTGTATTAAATTTGGGAAGGATTTTCTTAATTATCTAAATCTGTGGAAATTACAAATCCACTCAATAACACAATTAATAAAAATTAAAATTACTGACAACATTGAGTTACCGGAGATATACTGATGCTTCCATTTTTAGTTTGTGTGGGAAGACTTATGTATTTTGAAATAGGAAAACTATTATAGGAAGATATTTCACATTTGGAAAAACATTTGGATAATACCATACAGCAGAGTTTAATTTCATTGTTAATGAGAGATTGATTTAGTTAGTGGAAAGTTAGAGTAAAATATTTTCATAACAGCGACAATACGATGCCAAATTACAGTACCTGTATTACTTAATTGACATACTGTAATTATACATTTCTAGGGGAATAATCTTTCCGAGTGTTAGATTTTACTCTAGAAAAAAGAAAAAAGGCTAAACTAATTGGGACGTCTTTTTTAACAGAGAGTTTGAGGTCGAGTCACTACACTTCCCAGGTCAGACCCACCGCTGGCAAGTGTCTGGGTGGCTCCAGAAGGGGTGTGAGAGAGCCCATAACTCACTGCTGGATGATATTGCTCTAGCTCTCTCCCTCATTGTTGTTACCGCCAAGAACAGATTGTCATCCCCTCTGTTCTCACTCTCCCACTCGCTGCAGTCAGTATGGCAGGGAATCCTTATGCTTGTGGGTAAGTTGACGGCTCTTTGATACTTTTACGTGATTATGAAGGGTTTAGTGCTTTATGGTATGGTGTGGTCATCCCTGCAGTCACTGATCATGTTGTCTCTCTGTCTGTTCATTATTCCATCTACCAGTCATGACTTTTATACTGATTCAGGAGTTACTTATTTGTATTTTTTTCTGTTTGTACATTTAAATTCCCACAAAATACAAGTCAAGATCAGTTTGGAGAGTGAGGAAACTTTCTTGTTTAGAATTACTCGGTACAGAATGTGTTCCATCATTATCATCAGAGCGCTCGCCTCTAGAACTTCTTTAAGTTGGTCCTTTGATAGACTGTACTGTATAAGTGTACAAAACTTATTTTTATGAAACTATTGCAAAGAATTATATTTACCTTGTAATTAATACGTAGTACAGGTACTCCCCGACTTACGACCGACTCGACTTACGTCCACCCACACTTACGACTGCCTCAGTTGTACCAAAATGTGGTCAAATTATGTATTTTTGAGTCCCAAAGTCAGTACACAGACAAAATTTTCATCTGTAATTCACTTTAAAATGTCTGGCAAGCATAAAAGTGAGTGTTTTGTGGTGCTGAGAAGAAAAGGAGACCTAGATTTTCGATTTTCTATGTGTTATTTAAGCATTTCCGACTTACGACCATTTCAACTTACGACCTGGATGTCGGTCCCTAACCCCATCGTAAGTCGGAGAGTACCTGTATAGTACAGAATAATAAGTTAATCATTATTACAGTATATATACCAATTTTTGAAAGATTGGAATCATTGAGTACTTATATAAATATTTAGATATATCCTGTACTGTAGTCACATACTTAACTTATTTTAGAAGAGTTAAAGATAATGGTGTGTCATAAATAAGACCTGAGAAGACCCCGTGTGCTTGTGTTAGTCAAGAAGGAGAATTATTAGTGTACTACAGGGGTGTTATTGAATGTTCCAGATCTGGCTGTGGGTGTACCATGGGTTCAAGCACATAATTTAGAGGCACGGATGAAGGAGGAGCGATGCAGCTACCTGGTGCAGGAGTTGACGTGTCAGGTAAATTTAGCTTTATTATGTCCAGAAGTCATTTACATAATTTGCTCTGTGTTACCTTACATAAATTAATTGATGAGTACTAATCCTTAACAAGTGGTTAAGAAGTCCTTACTCTGCCCTTTATCTAGGAATATGGTATACTGTACAAGAAACATCTCTTGTTAATGGCTCATGTCTCTACAGCTAGCTTCCACTGTCCTCCATCCCTACAGATAACTTCCTCTGATGATGGCTGCTGTTTAAGGGTTAAATGACTTCAGTATTTTCTGTTTTGAGTTCTGTGTTTAATCTAAATTCCTTCCATCCTATACTGTAATATATGTAGTGGATAAAGGCTCAAAAGTGTGAAATGCTCTATACTTTTACTGTTTTACAGAAACTTTGTCACTTGCAATAGTGAGATTTTGATTTCATTTGATTTGAATTTATTGGGTAAAGGTTCATACACGCATACATCTAGTAATATTTACTGATAAAATACAGTACATTACTGTATTAGTGATACATGTACTGTACTTATTTCCAATGTGGCTCTCATATTTTGGGTGAAGAATGTCTTAATTGGACTTGAAGTTGGAGAAAAGAAGACCTATTTCTGAGTGATAATGATTACCATTTAAAAATCTTCACACAGTCAGAACTAGACCATCATTTAGGTAAATAACTGTAGTGATTATTGATGGGAGTGGTGATAGAATTGTTGATAGAAGTATTGATAGAAATATTGATAGAAGTATTGTGTTGTGAAGGTATAAACTACATTATAAACTCATTACAGTAATAACAATCTTGCTGGTAACATTACAGGATGGTGACGTTGAGGGCCTGTGTTCATGGATGGTGCAGCAGATCAAGCGAGCCACAAGAGAAAAGTTTCAGTTGACGGACGAGAAGCAGCCACCGGTGCCGTACATCTTCACCACTCCTCAGGGGCTGGAGCTGGATCTCCGACTCTTTAACAGGTAATGGGATATTGACTCTTACTTAGGAGAGGAAGAGAGATCCACTTTTATGTCTGTTTGTAGTTAAATCATCAGCTCTATGTATTGTGAGAACTATTTATATCTGACTGTGACACTAAGTGAACTTTTTACCGTTGAGGTTGGGTAGATTGAGTATAGCAGGTGGACCAACAGGAATAACTCGTGACAGTAGTGGGACAGTGAGTAGATTATCCTGCTTTAAAAGGAGGAAAAGAGGCTTAGGTTATATATTTGTATATGGAGAGATAAATTTATTTTAGAGATACAGCAGATTACAGTGACTAGGTTAAGGAATACATTTTTGTAATACAGTACTTGTACTCTCACCACTTGGGAATTACTGTAACTCATTTTAATTAAATCTCTACTGTTCTTACATTGTTATTTCTGTATAAAGTTTCTGAATCGGGTCATTCACTAGAGTGTTATTGCAGGGAGCTGATGAAGAAGGCACTGCCGGTGCTGGTGAGCATACTGGAGAAGGAAGCTCGGGGCTGGTTCCTCCACTTCAGAGAGAAAGTTATTGCTGATCTCAAGGCACAAAATCTCAGTGATTATGAGGTTGAGAAGGTGAGTACATACATAACAACAATTCTCTTTACATTACTGTACCGTGCCCCTCTGTAAAAAAAGGCCCTGGGGGGTATATAGTGTTACCTCTTCCTCTGTATGTACATATGGAATGTCGTTTTGATTCTGCAACTTGACTGAGTTTAATAATCACCACTTTCCATCATTAGTTATCAGAGTTGTGACTTATTTTGAACATGGATTTTTTGTAGGGGGCACATCACCCTTTATTGACTATCTTGGTACTATATTATCTGTTTATCATTCTGTACAGTAAGAGAATGAAGTATCTTCCTGTGGTTTTGATGAATACATTGCAGAATGGTTGAGCCATTGGACACAAGCATGTGTGGAGCCCATAAACAGTTGGCAGGCCTGTGGAACCTTGGAAAGGGGTCTCCAGTGACACCATTCACTGTGTTGGGTAGTCAGGTTTCATTATGCTATGACCAAAGCTGGGATGATACTTCTTTCTCTCACTGTACACACATGTGTTAATGTGTTATGAAGATGTACTGTCTCCGGTACCTCTAATTTAATACAGTAATTAGTTTAGTTTTACAAACTCACTGATTATTTACAGTGATTGTCATTTTGATTCATTGAAATCATTTAGAAAAGCTGTAAGTCTCAGGTACGATAAAGTCTTATACAGATGAAAACTATGATGTAGGTTTTCTTTAATGCCTTACCTGGGAGAATACTTAAGAAGTAACTTTAATTGTTTACTGCCTGAAGTTAAATCTTCAGTGAAATGGGAGTAGTGTATGTACTTTGGTTATTACATACCAATATTAATGCTCATATTTAACAAGTAGATAAATATTTTTCAGGAAGGAAACCGTCTAGTGCAGGAAGAGTACCTGGGTCGTGTGTACACAGCCATCCTAGCACACCCGTCCCTTCAGGACCTTGGCCACTCTGTGCCGTTACTACTTATCAATCACGCCAAGGCAGTTTTGCTGATGCACAGGTATGTGAACCTTCCCCAGTACACTTATATACAGTACGGTATTATATAAGTTAGCTTTAGGCAGTTAGAACATTTGACCATTTATTTGAAGACTTTCCTACAAAAACTAGGACAGAAAATAAAGAGAGAGTTTGTTTTTCACTTGTTCTGGTGTTGAGGATAGATTAATTTGTGTTAGTTTTCTGTGAGTCATTGTCTTATATTAGATCCAGCCTCACATAGTTGTGAAATAGAGTGAGGTTATGAGATAGATAGATATTTAATCCCAAATCCATTTCCCTCCTTCACCAGAGCCCTTGATGAAGTAGAGAGAATATATGAGGAAGGTGAACGATCTAGGCGGGAGGAGCTCAAGCACACACATTCCATATTTTCCCGTATCGATCCCTGGCTGGCCGACCAGTTGAGTGCTACTCACGACACCTTGATGGAGCAACACAAGTGGCGGCCACATGATCACGCTCTGGCACTGTGTCGACAGCACGACCTCCAGCAACATGCTTACTTCCTTCAGAGAGATCTTTCCTTTATGAGAGAGGTATAAGATTAATGCTTTTATTAATCTTCTTTTTTATGTTCTGCTGAATATCCCAAATTCTTGTTTTTAGAAGGATTTTTATTACAGTTAATTGTTATAGGGAGTATGAAGGCTGGCATGGGATCAGGGGAGGTTATATCAAGGTCCTTAAATGCTAAGCCTCCATAGAAAGTTTCCATTGCAAAGTGTAATACTGTGGTGTGCCTCCAACAGAAACAACACACACAGGATTTGTGTGGTCATACTGTTGTGCAAAAGAGGGAACTTTAGGAACTTTATAAATAATTTGTTTTATTTATAGTTAAGGTATTTGTTCTTAAACATAGTGCTATATTTAACAGAGAGAACCAGTCCTGATGAACGAGTTGAAGAACCTGAAAGTTGCCATGCGAGTGTTCCAGTGGCGAGCTCAAGTTTGGTTTCCTGGTAACTACATAGTCAGCCGCAGCTTTCAGGGCGAGAGTGAAATAATTCCAACAGTACTGGCCTCTTCACCCACGTGTATCACCACACCACGTACAGACCCAAGCCATCCTGTGTACTTGTTAGAGAAGCAGGTAAGTTATTAGTCTTCTTCCAGTCCAAACAATTGTTGTCTCTCTGTCTGTCTGACCTGTCCTCGGTTTTGTGTTACAGTACTGTGGTTACATAGCAGCAACTGATAAGAAAATTTTACAATGTAGTAAATGTTTTTTTATTTCATGAAAATGGGTAGTTGGTGGTTATTTTATTATCACTGACAGTGCTGTAACTTTTATTTCTGTTACCAGTCATTATTGAAACCAGCAGACATTTTACACTCAGCTTGGCTTGAACTGAGAGGATCACTAGACAATGGTGCACATAAAATCATTCTAACAACTTTAAAATTGGTTAATTGGCAGCCAATTTATTTAGGGGCCTTTTATGATGGCTATCCATTACAGTATGCTAAAACTACCCCCCAAAAAATTTCAACCTTGCCATAAGTTAAGAGCAGAATGATACAATTACCTTATATTGTACATATTGATTATTTTTTTAATTAAATGAAAAATGAATAATAAACAGTGAGAGGGAACACGTCTGTGTACCTGGCTTGGTGATGCATTCTTTCTGTGGTGTTTAAACATATGGTGGTCAAACAGGAGAGACGGTAGAGGAACAACAGTGAGGAGAAGTGATAGTCACCGGTGTTGCTTTTTGTGGTAATCTCCCAAATCTTACTGCATGATAATTTCTGTAATAAAGATACTGTACCATGATAATATTTTACATTTGTTGTAATTTTTGTTTTTCAGTTAATTAGAACAACTTCTACTCGTTGGCCTTTCTGGCGCTGGTTCAACTTCCTTCATAGATCCTGGGCCTGGACGTCTAATGCTCTCTTCTTCTTCGGGGTAAGAAGTTAGACATGTGCAGCTTAAACATGTGCAGCTTAATCATGTGCAGCTTAATCATGTGCAGCTTAATCCTAGCATTACTTTATCAATTTAATTTTAATGCTTGAGCAGTAAAATGTGGCAAGTGTATGTATAGTCTTGGTACCAGGTAATACAGTACAGAAATTTGGCCAATCTCTGATTATGTAGAATTAAAATTAAGACGCTCTGGTTGAGGTGAAGACAAGTGACAAACTGCCTGGACATGTGTATTATACTCTCATAATCATAACACTTCTCTCTAAACTTACTTTTTTTTTTTGTCTACAGTACTTGTCGCCCAGAGCGATCATATATAACTATGCAGAACCCATTAAGTTAGGTAATGAGAGAGTTTTGGGGACCTAAGCTAAGCTAACCTAACCAAACCAAACCTAATCTAACCCACCGTAAGCTAATCTAGCATAACCAAACCTAAGCTAACCTAACCTAACTACAAATGATGAGACATTGTGTGGCTTTTGGTTCCTAGACATAAATCACCATGGTTTCCAAACATAAATCACCTTGGTGTTGGACCACTTTAACCCTCCTAAGAAATGACTTAAGAGTATAAAATAATAGTACAGTATTGTACTGTATTTAAAATGTGGGAATTAGTACCTAAAGTTTATTCATAATTCTAAACGCTGTCTCATGCAGAAAGGAAAACTTTGAAACTATTGTTTCGCAGTGCTGGGTGTATAGGTAAATGAGGTTGGTGTTTTAACTGTAGATCTAAATCTTTTTTTTTTTTTTTTCTTCCCAGGTTTGGTTGCCTCTGTGTTCTCCAGTCAGCTTAAGAGCACTCTTGTACCGTGATCCCTTCATGTCAGACTTTGAATTGTCACAGGTAAGTCCAGATCATCTTAACCCTTGTGCTACTGGACATCCGTTTCACTACACATGGGAGACAGCCTAGAGCAGCTGAGTTCCCACATTCCACTGACCCCCGCTCAGCGTGTTAACTCTAGTGCACCGAGAATTGTTTCTTCCTTTTATGAATTTCACTTATGGTCAGTATTTAATGTTGGTTTTCATTTATTTATTTATTTTTATTTTTTTTTCATATTCTATATCTAGGAAGATGTGAGCATGTAATTGATTAAAAAAGATTTGAAGAAAATAAATCCTTAAGCCCTGGGATAGGGTGCTGCTGGCAGCTGGCAGCTGGCAGTACCACCCCTCCTCCCCCCCCTGCGGAGATAAATTGAGGAAAAATCAACTTAAAAAAAAAACAGCGGCAGGAATTGGCGGACATTCTGGAACGTCACCGGGGGCTTAAGGGTTAAGTATATTTACCTGAAATTACAAGATGAAAAATAACCATAAAATAACATATAGCTCATTGAAAGGGATGAAAACTACATGACAAGTATTTAGTCATCAGTCTCAGTCAGGTAGGGAATGATTGCAAATACCTCACTTGGCCTGTTAGGAAGAGGTTTAGTGTGTCTGAAATACTTACCATATATCTCTTATAGAACACAAATGAAAGGTTTATTGATTTGATTGTTATCATAACATTGGAGAACCTTGTTATTAATCTTGACAATGATGGTTTGTTTTGGAGAGCTAAAATCAAATTGAGATGTTGAGCAGCAGATTATAGTGTATGAGAGATGGTGAGGCAGTACAGGAAGACTGGTGGCTGGTACACATCTGAATATTCACTAAAATCTTTAATATTATTCCCCAAAATTAAATACATGTTTTACTTACAGGTAAATGGAACAGTGTGCCCAAGTAAAGCTTCACTGAGACCTACCTTGGCCTCTCGACTGCACACTCTCTGGCGACACATTTCTAAATCTCGTACACATTTTGAGACTACTCCTGACACGGGTAAGATAAGTTTTTGTAATACTTAAAGATCTATAAAGACTTTCAAAATTAATGTGTGAAATTTAGAGTACAGTATTTTGTAATTATTTGAAGGGTCATTAATTAACACAAGTTTAATTTTGTTCTCCATATACAGTACCTATATCCTTAAACAGCACCTTTTTGTGAAATGCTGTACTGTATGAGTAAAATATAGATCAGGTGTTTTCTTCGGCCAATAATAATTTATGTGGGGAGTAAAAAATAACATTTTAATATGGTACAGCCAGCCTATATTCACAGGAAAATGAATGAAAATGTGATGTAAAACTAAAGGAATGAAAGTAGTGATGGTCATGGTTTAAGCTCTTGTTTTGTGTCCCCTAAAATGTGATGCAGGGTGGACTTGATTGACCAGAGTATTGGCAAGTCTACTTAGGAATTTTTTAATGAATGATATTTAGATTAGAATAGTCCTGAGTATGATGGGAAGGTTGTAGTACAGTATTCTAGAATGATTTCACAGCATTCATAATGTTTCTGTTTGTTTCTTCAGAATTCTTATTTATTTGTTTTTATAAAATAGAAAACTGATTAGGGACATCATTCCAGAAATTCAATTTAATCGGATCTAAACTACATTAATGTAATGTGACTTAACCTAACATGGTCTAGCTAGCAGGTTAGGTAAGTAAATTTTGTGTTAAATTAGGTTAAAATTTAGATTTTCTAGAAACCTTATCGTCAATGTTTTTTCTAACCTGTATAATAAAACAAAAATAGTTAAATCACATCATTATTAGGGATACAGAGTCTTTCCAGAATACTACCAGAGAAATACCACTGAGGCAGAAGTCATCACTGTATTAAACAACTCAGTATTTTGTGTACATGATCTGCTGCCTTGTTGAGGAGTAAAATTTCCACGAGTCTCATCTCTCCACAGGATTTATCGGCAAAGGAGTGACTCGGCACATGAATCGCGCTTGGAATTATGTCATGAAAGGCATCGTGGGAACATTACTACTCACAACTGTGTTCCCGTTAACTTGCTTGTTGGTGTCCTTGGGGTCCATGGCTATTGCTGTCGCTGCTCCTCTTTGGTAAGTCTATTTTAGTACAACTTCTGATTACTTTGATGCGATAAACAAAATATACTTCATCACTGCTGTAAAGAAATTTCTCCTGTGTACGTTACAGGTTCTCATATATTTCACCAGTGCTGTTGATATCGATGGATTAGTTACCTGCATATCTAATAACCGTATTCAACAAAGTCATGGGGACAATACAGAAATGTGGTCTGTGAGACTCTCCATATATAAGTTTTGTTTCCAGAGTGTAATGTGCATTAGTAGGTGTAAGGTGGCAAAATCCTACAATAGGTGTTGAAGTAGTCTGTTGTCTTTGCTTTTGGACTTGCTGGCCTTTTGACTGTTTTGGCCATGAAGTAGTGAAGTGCTACGGTACAATAAATATAACATACATGAGGAAGAACAAGTAGTGTTGTATCAAAGTGTTTGTGTGTAATTATGTTTATCTTTAATTTACAGGGTGCCTGCTTGTGTCCTCCTCTCTCACATAGTTTGTGTATTTCTCTATGATCTGGATTCTCCAACTGGCATGAGAAAATGGAGTCCAATACTTCAAGCAATAGGACTTCATCTTATTGTTTTGGGAGTGTTGCAGGCCATATTTTCTTTTCTCACAGCAACCCTCATGTGTCCAATTCTAGCTGCTGTTGTTCTAGTGTGTAAGTTTATTTGCTTTCTGTTTATATCTATACAGTACTGTGTAAGTATCGTGTGTTATCCTCTTTAATATTTTGTGGTATAATGGATTGTCCTAATTGAAACTGCAACAAAAAGGTTATGAGAAATAAATGAGTTGAATGAACTGCGTAGCAGTAGTGTAACCTTTTAATTTGTTTTTCCGTGTTTAAATATATGTCTCTTCTGCAGATGGATTAATACGGCGTGGGTTAAGACACATGTGGGATGCAGTCATGTTCCATGCAGTTATTAAAAAGCGTGGCCGTATCCCAGCCTCTGACAGCTTCCTTGTGAAGCGTATTGCTGGTCCTGGCTTACATAATAACTTCTATTATCAGGTTTGTTCATTGTTCCCTTTTCTTACAAGAAGCTTGAATAAAACTTTTAGGTGTATCTTCTTTTTAAAGTTGTTGGTAGACAGTCTGCACTGTCAAGATTGGTATTATTGATAAAGTTGTATGTGGATGGAAATATATTAGAAGGCAGGAATTCTGTAAATGAGAAGAGTGAGGAATGAAGGAGATGAATGTTATGGTAATCAAGTTTGGGTAAGGGAAACTTTCTTTTATGAATGACTATACAGTATTTCTAGATGCTGTAATGTGCATTTTCTCTAGATCTGTACATATGATAAGCATATTATATTTTATAAACAGTACTGTATAGATAGATAGATACCTAGATATTCAAGGTGACTGTTAAGAAAGTTTTGTATCTCTTTGTCATACAGATAAGCTGTGAACAAGCATTAGCATCATTTGAGTCACGGCTGGAAATGGACGAGTTGGCTGTGTATCAACGTGAGATGGAAGCAATTATTCACAAACCACTTTGTGTTTACACGTAAGACAATTTTTAAATGTTTTCTTTTATTAATATTGGCAATTTGTTTTTTTTCAGTTTCCTACATTCAGTTAATTACCTACATTTCTGATTTGTGTTGAAAATTTCTCTGAACAAAATTGAACACTGATAGCTTGTTTGTCTCTAAAGTAAGTGACATTTTTCTTAAGGAAGTGGTCACCTTATCCATAAGTTGTAACTAAAACTAAAAAGTCTTTACATCATGCCTCATGATTTTTATGGGTCCATAACCTGAGTGAGGAAGATCTTTCTTAGACCAGTGACTGAGCTATGTAGGTGCCACACACAGTGATGTTCCTCTGACTCATCCTGGTCAGAGGATCAAACTTAAGTCTTAATAGTTGAAGATTCGGGTATGATCAACTGAGCTGTGACATTCCTCTAACTTGTAACGTCATGTTATTCAGGGTTGTCACCTTGGTCCTCTTGGTGTGGGTGTGGTGCTGCCCTCTTGTGTTGTGATCAAGTGTGATTACAGAATAATATGTAAGAGAGGGGTTATATATTCCTCAGTGTGTGATTGTTAATCATTGGTTTTAGAACATACTGTAATGGTAGAGGGTTTAATGCTACTTTTTTCTTTTACTGCAAGAGTTGATCTCGGTGTCTTCCCGTCTAAATATTCTCTCCTTTGTTTTTAGGGATTTTGTGCAGCGTTGTTTTGGTCCCTTTAGTGGAGTCATTGGTAAAACTGGCAACTATGACAGGGTGGAGAAAGAAGTGCGTGACTTAATCCTCACGTTGCAAGAAAAAATAGACAGACGGAGGAGAGACCTGGCCCTGGGGCTACCCATCAGTGTCAGGTGAGGTATTAACATTTGTCAGTAGCTTTAGGGAAATAATATGTTGAACACTTTATTGTAAGTTTTTAAGTGATTAAGCTTAGAGTAATTTATATAGGAAACTGATTTACCTGAGAACCAGGCTGAAATTTTACAATTATAACTGTAAGAAAAGTTTCCTCTGACATTTGAATAATTATTGAAGATAGATATCTTGTGGGAAGATATAAAATCATTGTTCAAATAATTTTTATTTCTATTTATCAGATCAAAAATCAAATTAACAACGAGGGAATTGAAGCTGGCCCTGAAGCAAGCCACCGTCATGCTGGAAGACTTCTATCCCTCCCACGTGCTGAATCGGATCATTGACCAGCAGGGAACTGAACCTTCTGACGGCGAGGTGGGGACAGTTATGAACCGTCTTGAAGCAATACACGGAAGTAATGCACCTGTGTCAAAACATGTTGGAATTTTAGAAAGAGGCGCTGTGATAAGTGGAACAAGAAGAGGTGGGCCGATAGAACCAAAGTTTGCAACAGTTGAAGAATGGTGGGACAGCAAAGGACTTGCTCTTGGTATGTTTATGTTTATATGATTGCGTGAAACTTTTAAAATGGCAAAGACAGCCACCATCTTTGGAAGTTTCAAGTTCACTGCATTCCATTGTTGTGCATCTTGGGGGCAGGAATAGGGAATCCTTAGCTGCTGGTTAAGGGTTGAAGTTTAGCACTTAAAAATATTACAAAGTTAGCAAGACTTAAGTCCTTAATAAAGAGATTTATAAAAGAGGTTGTCAAGTTTCAAAATGAAATACACAACATTAGTTTTGAAGTGTTTAAAGTGTTATCAGTTGATTTTATAAGTTACAAAATACATAATTTGAAGTTTTAGATCGATAGAATGAGTGACAGTATGCCAACTATGTTTGTGAATGAATTATGGAGATGGGGAAATGGATCAGGGAGTTGCAGAATTGAAAAGAGGGGATAAAATATTTGCTTATTTCTTGAAGGAGGTTTTGTGTAGGTGGGATGTACTGTATATAAATCATATGATGAAGGGAGGATTTTCACTTTGCCCAATTGTTGATGGTGGGAACTATCATTAAGGATACAACAACATCAGAAGATTGTTTTTGCATTTTACCTTCTGTTGTTCTTTGTAGCCTTGAGAAGAATATACATTATTTACAGTGAAACCTCTATTTAACGGATTTCACGGGAGAGGTTAGTCCATTATGTGGAGGTTTCACTGTAGTCTTAACCCACTACACAGTAAGAGACTATCAGATAGGTGAAGGTGTTGATATTAATTCATTTTGTTTTCCTTTATCTTTCAACAGGTGACTATGGTGGTTTAGCTTCATTAATATTCACAGAAATCTTTAGTTCAGATTTCTTGACACCAATGGAAGAATCAGATACCAGTTTCCAGATGGAGGTAAGGGGGTTTAGTATGTCATTACAGTTAAGTGAATAGAAGTTATTTCCTATAAGATACTTTGATATATTATAGATTTTTGTAATAACTCATCCAATGGTAACTCTCCCCCATACTGAGTCATAATGGAGAGAGTGGATCAGGTGTTTATGTATATACTGTCAGTTTATGTAGAGGTCAAGGCAGTAAATTTAAATGTTTACGTGAATCATGAGAAAAATTAAAATGTGTTTACTGCAAATTTAGTTCATGACACTTCTAAGCTTCTTATGCATTTGTAATAAAACTATACAGGTATCTGAATGGCACTGTAATATGACCGAGAAAGTAAAATGTTCATGGAATTATCAATTATGAAATATAGCGTTAATAAAATAGTGTTGGAATCAAATTTCTTCCTTTACAGGTACACGGAGTTAGCTTGTCTCGATACACAGAGATGACGCGCTGTATGCCAGATAGACCGGACTTAGATGAAAAATTAACTGTTCATACGCCTCGTGGTAATATCCAGGTATGTGTCTCTATGTTTGTGATGTTTGATGCTTCTTGTGACTGGTGAATTAGAGATACTTGGCATTGCATTTTTGAGAATTTCAGATATTGAAATTGTAATAACCATTAAACATTCTACCACACAGGTTCATGCTCCATACCTAGATTTAGCTTCCTTCACACCACTTGTCCGGCACGGTGTACCCACACACCGCACGGGCAAGACCAGCCTAGCTGCCAGACTCTCACTAAGGCTCAACCCTGGACGAAGAATGGGTAAAGATTACACTAGAGTTTTCACTAGAATAAAATATACTAAAGAATGGATGATGTGGAAGAAAAGCAATAATGAATTAGTGATATCAGGCTGACTTGTGAAAGGCAGGTAAATTATTGGAATGGTTAAAAGTGTTTCAGTGTGAGTTTTAAGATTTTTTAATGATGTGAGTAGAAGAGCTTATAGCAGAGGACTGAGGGTAAGGGCAGGGTGGCAGTACTTGGATGAGAGCAGCACATCACTGGACAAAACTTCAAAAGTGAACAAACAGAATTTTGCATGGATTTAGGATCTTCACGAACTTAGTCTTGTTATGTGGGTGAAAGTGTAAAGGAAAGATACTCTTATAAACTAGATACAACACACTTTATTTAGTCCATAGATTGAACAAGTATCATTTTAAGTGTTAAGCTTTTATCATTAGGAAAAATTTTCTATAGAATTAAGAGATGGGATAATATGTGATGATTTGTGTTACATATCAAGAGAAATCCTTTGTTCCTTTAGTGTGCGGAAGTCGTGTGCCAGAGAAGCTGCTGATCCCCCCACCCATTCCCCACCCCGCCCACATTGCTGTAATCATCCACAATCGTGAGGCCTCTGAACCCATCCCCCTTGATGCTCCACTGACCTTACAGGTATGTTTTCAGTTTTCCACTTGAAGTATTACAGTATTAGTAATATTTGGGTAGGTATTACATGAAGATGCTGTTAGATTAAGCATTTATTGTTATACAGTCTTTTTAGAATGCAGTATGTACTGTACTTATGAACTAGAAAACAATATTTTTTCTGGTTGCTATAATTAAATCTTATTGCATAAGAAATACTGTACACTGAGAGTTGGACAGAAAAGAATAATTGAAAGATTTAGTGTGATGAAGTGTGAATATATGTGGACATAACTATAAACTTGTAATAAGAAAAATCTCCCATGACTGATAAAAAATTTTGACAGGTTATTCGCACCATCGAAGATTCTCCCCATGTTATTGCGGCTCTCACCTCCCTCGGGGATGAGGAGACACCAGTTTCTGACTCCCGTTCCTCCTCCCTCTCGCACGACCGCTCATTGTATGATGATCCCTCTCTCTATGACGGGCCGTACAGCAGTGCCTCGCGATCAGGCACAGCAGACAGAAGGGGTACTCGTTGCTCGCTTGGGCGTTCTCGCACTGCCACGCTGGAGATGACGGCAACTTTAGACCGCATTGCAACAATGGAACAACGCACAAACATGAATGAATATAATAGGTTAGTATTGTATTGTGAAGCAACAAAATTCAGTAAGATTGAATTATACTTGCTGAATATGAACAGTATTTGGTTTAGTATATTGTACAAGATTTTTTTTTCTCCAAGATAACTGTGCAACTTTTATAACTTAAGACTACAGTGATGAACATCCCTCTCAGGTCATCAGATTAAATTAGAAAACAAATTGGTCATCTTTAAACACACTTGCCAACCTTTTAGTATGGCCTATATGTTTGTATCACAGTACAGTATATTACATATATACTACTTCCTGCATTCAAGAGTGTGACTTGCAGTACATCATAGACGTATAAAAACGTTTAAATGAAGAGGGACTGACAGAGAGACAAGAGGAAACAATGGAGGTAGATGAGGGAAAATCAGTCTTGAATGAATATGTACAATGGAGAGGAGGATATTAAAATTTGTGGCAGAATTAATTCCTGAACTCAAGAAATTTCAACTGACTGTGTTGCACATGGTATTAAAAATAATGAAATAATACTCTTTACTACCTTTCTTAATTTTTTGTACTGTATAAAATATTTTACCTCCACAGGTCTAGCACCTTAGAATTAACCCCAACAAGAATGGCTCAAAGGTTGGCTACACCACTTCGATCTCTACTCGAGGGACAACGACCATTCACGGTCTCCCTGAACTTAGCGTCTGCTGAAGATGTTAGTCTGGAAGTGGAAGAGGAAGACGAACAGCCCATTCCTCTTCAGCCCCTCACTCACTCTACTTATACAACAGCTGTGTGATGATAAGCAGGAGGGGTATTAAATGTCCCTCCAGATATTTGCAAACTTTATATGTAAATCCAGATATTAAACAAAACAGTTTCTTCTTGACTGTAAATGTGTTAAATGTCCTTTGCTGCCCTTTAGGATGGTAGAGGAGTACTTGTTTCACTCCACTCACAAACCTTCTTCATGTTATAATATTTCAGGAGAAACAGGACCTGAATTCCTTATCAACCCTGAATCCCTGATCCCAAAACCCTACTACCAGAGGTTAATGAGTCAGGGGTGAATTAATCCTTCCCTTTGTTCTCTGGGCACACACCTGGTGTATCCTACTGCTGCTGCAACAACAAGTTGAGAGTAAAGTTGTTACTTGGCAAACAATTTAACTTCTTCATATCATTTCTTATGAATATTTCAAGCATAGGGTATTAAAAGAGAGGTTGTGCTAATGGAAGGACATTACCCGAGTGTTCTGCAGTTCAGATGTAGGTTATGGGAGGCACTGGAAGGTTATATTACTTGGTATGCAAAAGATGCATACAGTATTGTAAATAAGTGCTCAGTACAGTATGGTTACTGTTGGTACCAATGGTTAAAGTGTTAGCTTACAGAACTCTGTATGTATTTTATGGTTGTGTGGCATAAATTGTGGTAACTTATGGCAATATTTTCAGTCTTAAAATTTTTAAAATTTAATTCTAAACTGAAGCGTCTCATCTGATGTAGACAAATTTGTTGATCTCTCGTGATACACTCCGAAATAATTATACAGTAATTATTTCACACAATTCAATAATTAGCACACCTTCATCTGTAGGGCAAGATGTTGCTTGTGCTAATGTGTTATGTTAATTAATAGGACATCACTTGTATGTCAAACAGCACTCTGCATCTGGTTGGGTAATATGTATGTAAGAATATAACCGTCTGTGATCACACTATGACAAATTTTCAGTAAAATTGTATACTTTGTAAAAGATGGAATTCATAAAGATTCATATTTGACATTATTCACATATCTTTATCATGTTACATTGACTACAAAGAACATGCATCATGAAATAACAATTTAATAATGCTGTGTGAACGTTTTTCTGGCCTATTCAATTGGGTACATTTATTCTCTCTTTCAGTAACTTCTACTTCAAGGAATAAGTAGATTTGAATTGTGATAACAGGATTGATAGAGATATTGTGTGATGGAATACACAATACAATAATGTACTTTCCTTTACTTCAGACATGCAAGTTAATCCCCAACACAAAGATGTGATGTGATGAAACTTTTAATTCTCATTTTGACTGAACCTTCCACAACAACTTTTGTTTTCTCACTTTGTGGTTCGCTTTTTTTTATTTATTTATTTATTTGCTTCTTGGTAAACAAAAATAGTTTCATGGATGTCAGGTGTAATTGGTAGTGTATTACAGTGGAGTTGTGATAATTCATGGGATAGTTACCAGAGAACTTTGTGAATTATTATTTAATTGATTTAAATAAACTGTTCCAAAATTGGTTTAATAATACATAATACTGTACTGTTCATAAAATAATACAATAACACAAATTTTGTACAAAAAGTAGATCCATATTACATAAACAGCTCCCTCTTGTCTCATAATTTGCTACGGGTTATGCCACTTACACTAACAGGCGCTGGGCTGGCTGTGTCTGTGCTATGTAAACAAAGAACAAGGAATTTAACACCACACATTAATTATCTGCAGTTGAGTTGGGGATTTTTTTCAGGATAATTTATTACTTTATGATAATGTTTTATTAATCCTCTCGTGCATTAAAATGCAAATCCCATCAAATCATTGGGTATCAGTATTTGCATCAGTGATACAAATTGTGTCATTAAACTTTAAAAATTTCACCCAAGAAAGGGTTTTCAAAATAATTACGTAAAATTTTCATACGTCATAGATGATTACATGATCTTGCAGGGGAAGCTTCCAGAAAGTACCAAAGCCTTGGTTTCTTCTCCCTCCCTCCCCACAATTAATCAAATGAAAAATCCAAACCCACTGTTGGAGAGCTCATAAAATCAGCTTCTATTGTTGTATACAGTACAGTAACACTGTACCTACCTCCTACATCTTACACAAAATTTATTCCCACGTTTCACTTTTTATATTACTGTATATTCTCTTTATTTTTAAGTCATATCAACGCATTGAAATTATATTTATATTATATTTTATCGCGACTCCACTGTACCGTTGTTATGGCTTTCTTGTGATAAATTGAAGTGCCATTAAATAGTTAATTTTTAATTTTTTATGTTTTATTAAACTAAAGAAAAAATGGCAGTATAATGACTTGTGATAATGGGGTCACTTAATGAATATAGATATGTGTTAGTCCAGCACTTACTGAGATTTGGTATCACTATCAAGTGTTGGCATATTATTATAATCTTATGACAGTTAAAATAAAGATGTGAGAGATTATCTTTAAGTTCCTATGGGTGTCACAGAGGATATGAGGGTTTTCCTAAGTCTTTTAAACGTCTGAGATAAATGAGGGACGAAGAACATTGTCCAATCAACCTTTACCTGTGTGGGTCGTGTGGTGTACAAGAGAAGACTGGAAGACTGACCATAGGTTTTGAAGCCTTGACTATTAGTTTTGTTTCCAAGTGGTATAATCCTTCTGAGTTAAGGTATATGTGTGGGTAGGACGACGCTCAACACGGCTGTCTGTGTTGGTATCTGATTGTGTACTTTTGTTTTGTGAAAAAGTATATGGTTGAAGTAGAAAATGTGAGGTTCTACCTCTTTATTTTGTCAGGGAGAAAACAGTTTGGTTTGTTTATAACTGGGGCTGTATGTTGTACATTTCTGTGATTTATATTTGTGAATCTCCTAATAGTGTATTTTAGGTATTACTTCATGCTTGTGTTGTTGGAATTTGCTCTCTTTTGATAGTAGTATCATTGGAACCATTCTTGTATTTAATATGCTTCATTGTACAGTATTTGACAGATGATATGACATAATGACATTCATTTGTTTAGCATGCAATCAGGAGCCATTACCATAACCATTTAGAGTATTCAACCATACTATTAGATTTCATTACTCATTTCATGCATCATATGGTTACTGTAGGTTTTAGAAATGTAAGATTGATAATACAGTAAAACTGTTTGTAAGATAATTGGCAGTCAAGTGTATTCTCAGTTGCTAGATTTTGTAATAATTCCATTACTTTTATTGATGACGCTCTTTTTTAGTTACCCTTCTAGCATCGTGTCTGTTTTTTAAATTACTGGGGTTGTCTGAAAATGCTTATGATGACTTTATTTATGATGATATGCATGAAAATGTAATCAAACAGCTTGCAGCGGACAGTCTCTTGTTGATGAGTGGTGAACTGCACTCTTGTTTCAAGTGTGTACTCTGAGGAGACTTTCTCAAATATTGAATTTTTTTCATTTAATTTTAAAACTAAATCAGCATAATCATGAATAGGACATGAGAGTAAATGAGTGTGTGTACAGTGTACATAAAACTGTGTGCCCATTTGTAAATTTTGTAACATTTTTTTTCTTCTTTGAACCTGATATCTTGCCAAATATAAATATAGAACATGAAAAATTGTTGTATTATTACTCTTACCTCATGGAACATACATACATACATACACACTCGTCCTTGTACCCTGACAATAAAATGAATACACGTACAGTACAGTATATTATGGGGTGTAATTGTTGATGGTGAAACAGCCCATCATTGGACACATTCGTTGTTCAATAGATACAGACAAGTGAATAAAATGAAGCAACAGCAGTGTGATATTTACTTGAAAATAATATTCTTTTCAATCCTTAGACAAAACACTAGCAGCTGTTGACACGTGGCACCTACTGTACTTTAACACTCGGTGGTACCATTCAGTCTTGTCTAATAACATGTTTAGATGACTGTTCCTTCCAATAAAATATAAACCACAAGCAAGTTTGCGACCCTATAATCATTATAATGTAATTAGCGCAATTCTGAAAATACATCGGAATGGACATGAGAAATCTGTAAACCTGCAGATAAATTTGTAAGAGCGGCACAACAGTGAGTCACAGATTAGTTCCAGGTAACTCCTCACTGTGTCCACCAGAATTTTATTGAAATTTTAAGGAGAAAACAGAAAGGAAGAAGGAATGGATGGGTAAAACGACAATGGATTGAAAGGAGAGGAGAATCCGGTGCTTCAAATACTCTTCTGAAGGAGCTATCTGTTGAAGGTTCTGTCACGTACATTAATTTGTTGAGAAAATGATAATTAAACATTAATCTGAACCTGTTAACATAAAATACATAATAAGATACGTACATTTCAAACTGCACTGAACATGATTATTAGTCAAACACCCAGTGCTATTACAACTGCCTACTCCAGCGCTAGCACACTACTATTGGCTGCAAAGTCGGGTGGCTACCAACTTCCAGGTGAATGGAAATCTGCTAGTTTGCTTGTGCTAGGGGCTAGTTAGTTACAGTTAGTGGAGCCGTTGACATGACTCGTTTAAAATAGGAAGGATATTGCTTGCTGTCATTTGCATTTTGTAATATTTTATTAATATTGTTGGGAAGGTGGGGTGGGGGGCGGATATTTCACAAGGAAAAGGTTATGGAAGCACTGTTGCTAATGTTCGGTACTCGTGTTGTGCAAAACGCTGGTCTGACCCCTAAGGTTTTAGGAATTTATGCTGGTTTCGTCGGTCTTGACTTTTTATCAGCTAACGAGGAGTAATACAAGCCTGTGTGTTTTTATTTGGTGAAGTATGCACTGCTGGCTATCTTTAGGTTCTACAACATAATTTGTCATGGTTTCAGGAACCGAGTACGAACTTGGATTTTAATGTTTGAAGTTGAAATGAAGTTTCTTTAGTTTGTAGGTTTGACAGGTGTTACTGTTATGTTTTCCATAGTGACAGTCTTTCAGTTGCATGCCTTTTTTTATTACTGATATATTGAAAATCATTATTATCTAAGAGGCTACCCGATGTGAGTATAGGTAGACTCAAGAGACAGGTATGTGTACACAAACACTTTCATTCAGTCACACCACACCGCCAAGAAATGTGTGGAACTACTGTATTAGTCAGACAGGAGGAATTCAATCCCCATTAGTTGGATGATGGTCCCAGAGATGGCGTTGGATTGCTGGTTGGTCAGTTACCACTCCGGGTGTCTCGGCTTCAACGTGTTCTAAGGGCCGTGGTGTACTGGTGAGTTATACACACGGCTCTAAACTCCGGCTACCGTTGTGTTGTGTGGGGGAAAACGAAGGAAATAATAGAGCTACGGTTTCATTTCTTCCCAAAAGACTCCAAAAGACAGAAAAGGGTAAGTTCATAGTTATGTGGTTAATTCATAAGCACTGGCGGTTGAATTGCAGTTTATTTTAACATTTCACCACTTAGCTTACTAGCCATTTGGGCGGCAGGTCTCTTTATTTGTTATTGTGTTGTCAATTTGATTGTCTAGTAGCAGCCAGTGATCAACCTCTTCCCCTCCCTTTATAGTATTTCCAGTGTAAATTTATCTCCTCTTTTCAAATGTACAATGAGAAAATTAATGTCGGAACCAATAGAAGAAAAGTAAGAACGCGGTTTACGTTTCTATGATATGAGTCATGCCTGGTCTAGACACACGTGTGTGCCAAATATATGTACAGTACAATTGACAATCAAATACTTCATAAAAGCTACTAAATGATCCTAGAATTTAATAGCATATTTTATAATAACGAATATCATGAAAAATACAAATAATAATAAATGGGCGAGTCAGTGCAGCCTATAGTTATGACCTCTTCGTTCTCTACCCTTTAAAATGTGTTTGGTTCCTCGCCTGCTGCAGCATTTCACATTGAAGAAATATGTAGAACCTCAACAAATGTTTATTACCAATGTTAAGAAGGTCCAAAGGGTCTTACTCCCCTCCCACACAGTGTCACTCACCTCCCACACAGTGTTACAGTGTCACCTCCCAGTGTCACTTACCTCCCACACAGTGTCACTCACCTCCCACACAGTGTCACTTACCTCCCATACAGTGTCACTTACCTCCCATACAGTGTCACTGCCCTATCACACAGTGTCACTCCCCTCCCACACAGTGTCACTCCCCTCCCACACAGTGTTATTCACATCCCACAGTGTCACTTACCTCCCATACAGTGTCACTTACCTCCCACACAGTGTCACTGCCGTCTCACATAGTGTTACTCACCTCTCATAATATGTGATAGAAACAAGTAACTTCCTTCATCGTGGAGCAGACCGTGTGGCCTAATGGATAAGGCGTCGGACTTCGGATCCGAAGATTGCAGGTTCGAGTCCTGTCACGGTCGATGTTATTTTTAGTTACAGTCAGCAGGAAATGTTAGAAATAAAGTTTGTATCACTAACTCATGTATAAAGGATTACCGTAAACTAAAAGAAATTGATAAACATTCGTAAATTATTTTTATTTATGGGGGCTCAACGCGCGATAAGGATTGGCTCGCTCCCAAGACACGAAGCTCGAATGGGCACCTGCCTTTACATTTGGGGAAGTGACGACAGTCGAGCGCAGTGCCGTCCACACTACTGACCGGGTGTGTTATTTTGGCTGTATGACACATGCGCAATGAATGACCCGTAGCGTGTGACAATACAAACTAACTCATAACTTGACCCAACACAATAGTGCAAAAGGTTTTGAGAAATTAAATAAATACTGACAAAAATTTTGTAGTTGATATATGACCGTGTGGCCTAATGGATAAGGCGTCGGACTTCGGATCCGAAGATTGCAGGTTCGAGTCCTGTCACGGTCGACTAATTTTTTTAATCTTGAGGAACCAATAACTAAAGAAACCTGCAATATATTTATTTGCTGTCATATTTACTTAACTACTTACTTAATTATCTGTTTACAAACTTGCTCACTAATCTACTTTCTGTCCTCACTGTTTCCTAACTTACCGTCTTAATCACCTGTCAACATACTAGCCAGTCGGACAGTCGGTTAGTTAACGGTTAATAATACTGTACCTTCTAAACTACACTAATATTATCCTATCAAGATATATCGCCAAAGAAAAATATTTCACGTAAGAATACTTTAGACTTTGATTACACATCTGTTAAATAATACCTTTTTCCCCAAGGCCCCATTTAAACCTTCAAGCCACATTACAAGACCCTCGAGGAGTCACTTTTCTTTTAAGACCGTGTGGCCTAACGGATAAGGCGTCGGACTTCGGATCCGAAGATTGCAGGTTCGAATCCTGTCACGGTCGAAAAGTCATTTTCAGAAAATTGGATCATGTTTTGCAGGGGTGTTCTGACGTCTGTGGGGATTGTGATGTAATGTTGGTTGTTATAACGGTTGCGGGGTTGTGTTGTATATATTAATCGCATTTGTCTTCAATGTACCAAATTGTGTTACTGTATACAAAATTAAGCTAAATTATGTATAAAATGAACTTAAGTATGATTAATGGAACCTTTATTTAGAGTACAGTACTGTACTGTATGTGGGTTGGGGTGACCTAGCCTGACTCGCGGCCACGCCAACACCCACACGAATACGCTGACGTCTGTATCGAGCCACACCCATTAGGGAAAAGCTCAGAGCATGTCCTAAACTTTAGGACATCCAACACCTTATCCTTTAGGACCTAAAGGATAAGGTGTTGGATGTCGGGTATAATGATTGCGAGTTTGCTTCCAGTCATTGTCATTTTATGTGATATGCATTCAAGAGTCAAGACATACAGACATGCGTATATACGTACTGGTACTGTGGCGCCACTGCACACTTACAACAGGGTGTCTCAGTCTTCGTGCACTTAAGGAAAATCGATGTTCTTTTATTTTTATTTATTTTTTCGTTTTCAGGTGAGGGAATCATAAGTCAAAGAAGATTGGGCGAAGAAGATCAATCGAATGGCTACCGAGGTCTCTGGACCATATACTTTGGTAAAAAGAAGTGGTCCTATAGTTTGACGTTTATAAGACTTGCTCACCGTTACTATAATAGTAATAAAAACAAATAACTACGACACAAAAGACATACATTAACTGTTTTTACATCTATTAGATACATACACGAAATGTTGACTTGGTTTACTTCGCTTTTTAGTTACGTTTTTTAAATTGGCAACGATTGACTCTCCCTTCCCCGCTAACGGTTACAGTAACTGCGTAGTAAATTTCTGAAGTGTTACTGTGTTGTAGTTTCCTGTTCGATGTCTTCCTGATTTTTAAGTGGTGGGAGACTTTCTGAATTGGTAATGAGTGTTGGGCTCGCTTCTGTTCGTCTGCCGTAGAGTTGCTCCACATCCTGGGTAGTGTCTGGCAGGGGTTTGTGTCTGGAGTCTGGTAGCAGTAATGCAATGAGGCTTGCTAGAGCGGCAAATGTCCCGAACATCAATGAGGGCAACCACCTGTACGTCAGTGCCTGCAATGATATGGAGAGAGAGAGTGAGGGAAAGATTGGGGAATATGGATCATAATAAAAAGAAAAACGATGCTAAGAGACAGTACAACATCACAGCACTAGGAGACAGTACAACATCACAGCACTAGGAGACAGTACAACATCACAGCACTAGGAGACAGTACAACATCACAGCACTAGGAGACAGTACAACATCACAGCACTTGGAGACAGTACAACATCACAGCACTAGGAGACAGTACAACATCACAGCACTAGGAAACATAGAGTAACTCACCAGAAGCCCTATAATGAATGGAGACATGATGGAGCCAACACGAGCCATCATGGAGGACAGGTTGAGCCCCCTGGATCTTACACAGGTAGGCAGGAGCTCCGATGCCGTCAGGTAAAGCAAGTTGTAGGCTCCCGTGATGAACAACTTGCCCACTAGAGCCAAGACTAAGGTCACTGTCGTGTAGGCTGTGTGGGGAGAGAGGTCATCATAAGTAGAGGTCATCATAAGTAAAGGTCATCATGGGTAGAGGTCATTGAAGGTAGAGGTCATTGAAGGTAGAAGCCATCATAGGCAGAGCAGTAGAAGTCATCATAGGTAGAGCAGTAGAGGTCATCATAGGTAGAGCAGTAGAAGTCATCATAGGTAGAGCAGTAGAGGTCATCATAGGTAGAGCAGTAGAGGTCATCATAGGTAGAGCAGTAGAAGTGATCATAGGTAGAGCAGTAGAGGTCATCATAGGTAGAGCAGTAGAAGTGATCATAGGTAGGGGTCAGAGATCGATTAGGGTAGGTTAGGTGGTGTTGATATATTTGTAGAGAAAAAGTCGTAGGTTTTTTTATGGTCTTAAATCTGAAGGGGTGATGGAAGATACAAAGTTGTTGAGGGTGGAGGATTTTTTTTAATTGTTGATGATAAGTATAATATCTGGGTGCTAATAGGAGGGTTTAGAGAGAGGGAGATGAATGGGGAGGGAGAGGGTGAAGAAGAATTATGGGGAGGGAGAAGGAGAAGAAGAATGGGAATGGAGGTGAAAAATGAATCAAAACAAACCCGTCGGAGTGATGAGAATGGCAAGGATAGCAGCACCAGAGATGGCGAAGCAGGAGCTGAGAACAGGGCGTCGACCAAACTTCACGACGATAGGTGTGAAGCCGCTGTAGCCTGGCACCTCCATCAGGGAGCTCATCACCATGTACAGGAAGGGGTCGTCACTGTCTTAAGAGGAGTTGGATTAATAACACCAATAATAATTAATGAACAGGGCCAATTATTATAAAGATAAATCAATTAAATTTCCCGAGGGGTTAAGTCATCATACTCAAGGGGTCAAGTGTCACCACATGTTAAGAGACCTACCTGAAGACGGTGCCAGAGAGACTGATGCCCCAGTAGGTGATACCAGTGAGGAAGTAACAGGAGAACAAGGCTAAAGTAATCTTTCTGAGCGTGGGTTGTCGCAGCATCAGCACCACATCCTTGAACCACACTGCCACACAGCCATACTCCTCAGCCTTACTCTTAGGAACAGTTTGCTGCTGAAAGGTAGACAAAGCTGTATTTTCTACAAGAGTAACCAATAATCTGTTAAATATTTGGCTGTTGTGTATCAGTTGATCTCTGATGACGTTGTCGCTCAGTGTGTTGTGGGATACTGGAGTCAAGGAAACTCACCTGGTTTCTTAGTTTCTGAAGGTGGTCTGTAAGCTGCTGCTGGGGAGGAAGTGCATCACCCTGCCAGCAAGAGGCCTTGTGTAGGACCTTGGCTGCCTCTTCCACACGGCCCTGTACCATTAGCCACCTCGGTGACTCGTCCATAAACCTAATAATTAAATACCATGTCACACTTCCTACTATTAACCCGAAGTTAAAGGTATGGGTGCACATATAATTAGAAGTTACTTATAATATCTGTACTTGAGAGTTTTGTCCTTGGAAGAAAGTTTCAGCCTAGCATCGTGAAGGTTTGTGTGTCTTGGTATATAGAAAGAGGATGGTTGTGAGCATTAGGAAATGGAGTAAATTTAGTCAGTCTGAATGAAGAGCAACTCACGGTATCTGGAGTAATATGAGGACTGCAGGCAAGGTACAAAAGAGTTGTAGTGTCCGCCAGTCCCTCACTAGGTACGCCCAGGCGCCGAACATCATGCCGGTAAAGGCGAATGGTGCAGTGATTAAGAGACCCATGATGGTGCGCTGCTTGGTCGGGCACACCTCCATCGCTGTACCACACAAACATTACCTCATGACAGACTCATCAACAACAAACATCATGCTGAATTGTATCATACATACTTGTGTACAGTATACTAAACATGCAGTGTAAGTAGCTACGTACAATACTGTATATATTGAAAATATTTTGGAGAGGCAAGGAATACAGGGAACCTCCCAACCTGGAGCGAAGACTTTCATTATGATCACTGGCATGATCATCACGAGTAACAGTGTCAATCAGTTTCCCTTATCAGTGATATGCCAGATGCCACGAAACTGGTGCTGGTACTCGAGCATCTCACTTGTCAAGGGAGTAGAATGCTTTTAATTGTCTAGTAGTCTATTTTATACAACAGACGGACAGGCGTTGACTTAGTTGAAAATTATGAGCACTTCAGAGGTCACTACTCAGTCATATGTATTATATCTGGAGATGGTGGATTGTCACCCCCACTTGAGGTCATTGGTTCAAGATAAAGCTGTCATCACAGAAAACTGTTAGAGCTAACTTATTTGGATTAAGAGTTCTGAAATATTGGAATAACCTGCAAGAGAATGTTGTGACAATATGAAGCGTGAACTCATGTAAGTCCAGTCTTGTCCAACACTGACACATAAGAGTATTCAGGCACACCCAAGAGCCATTGTGTCGATTAACAAGTAAGCTGACAAATGGAGAAGAGAAAAGCCTACAATACAAATAATTTTGATGGACAATTTTATCTAATCAGAGCTCAATACATGCTTCAGAGATCAACCATACGTTTTTGACGTAGTTTTAACGTCTTAGTTGCGTCGTTGACCTTGTGTTCTGTCTTGTATAAATTCGAGCTGCGTTGTTGAAGCTGTCACCTGAGAACTGAACCTCGGCGAGGTAGGTTCTCTCTGCTCCCGAGGTACCGTGAGACCATGTTCACCTTCGACCAGGCGAAGGTCGCTAGACTGGTTCCGGTCAAGCACCCTTCGCGCAAAGAACTAAACCTCCTTGTCCTGAGGAAGTTTTTTGACTCCTCGGGAATCACGGGGGTGACAAGGGTCGTCCGCAGTGACAGCGGTGAACTTATCGTCACCTTCGCGGAGTGGGGAGAGGCCAAGCAATTAAGACCTATTAAAGAAATCAATGGAATCAAGATCAAACTTGTATGCTCCTTTGTGGACAACTCGGTTTTGGGAGTCATCTCCCACACAGAAATCGAACATCTCGAAGGAGAAGAAATTTTTGAGCTGATCGGAGATGATATCTCATATGTTAGGAAGCTGACCAGCACAGCTGCCCTGGTTGGCTTCCCAAAGGAACTTCCTAGCTCCGTTTTACTGGGTTGGGAGAAAATCCCAGTAAAACCGTACCAGCAAAGACCTACTCGTTGCTACAATTGCCAGAAGTACGGCCATCCGGCGCGGAAGTGTCGTGCTCGGGAGGTGTGTTCAAGCTGCGGGACACCCGGGCACATTGACGCTGACTGCTTGGCGGCCGTGAAGAAGTGCCCAGCTTGTGGTGGCCCTCACTCCTCCTCCGACCGGGAGTGTCCCAAGTGGAGGGAGGAGTGCAGGGTGGCCAAGCTGCGGGCTAAAGAAAAACTGAGCTACAAGGAGGCCCTCCTTGTAGTGAAAAATCAAGAAAAGAAAAATCAAGAAAAGAAAAAGCAAGACAAGAACAAGCAAGACAAGAACAAGATCAAGGAACCCGATAACATTACACTATCTTTAACATCGCTTATTGACGTGTATGAGAATATCCTAGAAGAAGACCAGGAAGAAGAAGAATGGAAAGTGAAAAGCAAAAGAAGAAACAAGAAAAGAAAGAAGTCCAACCAATCAGCTTCGGCCGAAATAGCCTAACGGCGAAGAGGCCAGTAATCCCCAACAACTTCGACTTGAAGCTGTAGTCGCGTCGTCGTTAACACAAGTTTAGACCGCCAAAGTTCCTCCTAATTATCTTGCCTCACTTTGTCCACACAAGAACACACCTGAACTGACCTTTCACATAGGCGACGCTGCAGGAGGGATGGAGCAGTCCTAAGATAAAGCGGCTGGCTAGGACTAAGGTTAGGAGTGGTAGAAGGGCTGAAGCGACGGCCACTAGTGAGAATATTACTCCAGCCACCATGAGCACCCAGCGTCGGCCATACCTTCAACAGTCACATAAATTCACGTCATTAGCAGGAATGTTCAATGTTGCTTCTTTCTTTTTTTTCTTTTACCTTAGTCAGCATGGACCAAGAAAAACTACTTATGGAAGAAAACAAGAAGTAAAGATAAATTGATATTGAAAGAGATGGTTGATGCAAGTTGATGATATTGAGTTGTGTCCAAACACTTCATGCGTAATCATACTCGTGCGGCATCAGGCTAAGTTATGGTAACCAACACCAATACTGTTTACTGCCTTTTTGAGACCCTATTTCCCGCCATTTTAAGATTTTTTTTTCTAAGAGAGTTGGGCTAAAGATGATGTGCGGGTGGAATTGGGAACAGCAAGAGATTCCATATAAAGATTATGACCAATGAGTTTTAGTTATTTTAATGAGACGATAATATTAATTTACCTGTGGCTCACCTGTCAGACAAGAAGCCTAGCAAAGGTTCACCAATGGCTGCACCGAGGAAGTATAGACTCTGGAAGAGAGGACTGAGGCCGCTACGCTCGCACACCAGGTCCCACTGGGAGACATGTGCCGAGAGAAACACAAGATAATAATACAGTACTGTCATCTAACAAAAAATGGATTCTGAATTTTGTAACTTGGTGTAACCTGCCAGACTTGACACACATTAACACATTCTCAGTGTACAGTAGGGCCAAGAGGCCGTTCATACCTGCTACAGTACAGCGTTGGTCAACAATGTGTAACAGAGAACAGACTGACCGCTCGACTGACTAGTAAGCTAAACAGGTGGCAAAGAAGATACTGCACAGGAGAATGCTATTGGAACCTAAGGATCACCGTTGGAAACACAAACTCACCATTACAAGACACAGTTTATAAGATATTTTATCACCTGGAAGTTTTTTTTACAACACTACAATTCAAGGGTTATCTTGATGATGGTCAGAGTGACTCGGTGAAAGTTGTTTGGTTAAGTGAACAACATTAATTTCACGTTTACCTCCTTTACTTCCATCCCTCTTTTACCTCCATGGTGACGGTGGAGGTGAAGGTGGAGGTGTCGTACTGCCAGTGGTCACAGTTACGGGTGGCCAAGGTGAGGTCATCTTGAAGGTCAGGTGTCCATGGTAGGTTGGACACGGCCGAGTAGTTACGAATAAAGACATTACAGTGAGATCTCTCCAGCCCACCTCCTCGCTCTTCCCTGTTTAGTGATTACATGAAGATTAAACTCTCAGCTTGTTTCACCTAAAAACACCAATACTATCTTAGGGGGGGGGGGTAGGTTAGCGCTAGAGTGGTTAATCTTAAGGTGAAATTTGGGGTTAATGTGCATGTGATCCATTTTCTTGGGGATCACGTATAACGTTAGGTACAGCATTAGTCACAACTTGATCAATGAAACAGTATATGTGATAGATTTATTGATATATTTACCACGGTACTGAATAGTTGAGGCGCTGCTCGAGGGTCCAGTTATTGTCACTGAGTTGTGGGACGTCACACCAGTGGTCCACCTCTGGGTTGTAGAAGGCGCCACCCAGAGAGAAGTATGGCAGCACCAGCGCCCCTGTACACACACATCAACACGTTAGAGATACAGATCACTATATTGCCAACATGGAGATTAAACACCCCCAGTGGTAGATTAGGTTAGGTTAAGTTAGTTTAGGTTAAGTACATACGACTCGCATAACTCTTTGTGTCATGTCTCGTCCACACATTATGGGAAAACCCGCCCGCATCACCGGCTATAACAACCGAAGGCCTCACATATCAACCAATCAAAATCGCGTCTGCAAAGTATGACATCACAAGCCCGCGGTTTTACCATAGTGTGGGCTCATTTAAGTGCTCTTGCCAGCGAACTATTATCATAACGACTCATTACTCAGGTATACCAGGTCCAAGACTCCTACTATGACCGCCATTATACGGGACCATCAGTGTTTTGGATAAAATTTTATACCTTTAAATTCTTGTGCTTTTGGCTATACCTGGCGTAATTTTCATATGGAAATCTAGTTAACATCTTACTTGCATTTTTCACGAAGAATTCCTTGGAAGTTCTAAGTCAACCTTGAACTGATGTGAAGGTGTGACTTCTAGGGAAAAAGAAAGGAGTATATAGAAAAGTTAAGAAAGGCGAAAATCACTTACTTGGTTACTATCAGAACCTAACAAGACAGGTAAAAACAGAAATTAGGAAAGCAAAGAGAAATTATGAAATCAAGGTAGCAAACGAATCGAAAAATAACCCCAAAGCTTTTTATCAACTGTATAAATCAAAGGTTAGAGATACAATAGGTCCCCTTAAAACTACGACAGGAGAAATGACTGATGATGAGTTAGAAATGTCTAGTACGTTTATTAGTCATTTTCGCTCCGTATTCACAAATGAAAACCTAGCACAGTTTCCAGAAGTTCATAAGGTATATAACGACAGTATAGAAAATATGTTGATGAATATCAATACTGTATTACTAGTAACGATGTGCTTAAAGTAATTAACAAACTGAAGCCTCATAAATCGCCTGGTCCAGACGAGGTATATGCTAGAATATTAAAAGAATGTAGAGATGAGTTGAGTAATCCATTAGCAGTTTTATTTAATAAGTCATTAGAATCGGGCCTAGTGCCAGAAGCTTGGAAACTTGCAAATGTAGTTCCAATTTTCAAAAAAGGTGATAAATCAATTGCATCAAATTACCGTCCAATTAGTCTCAAGACGAAGTTGGATAGGCACATGGAAGTGCTGGGATGGGTGCGAAAGGGATCTGCCCTGTATGGGCCAGTCGGCCTCCTGCAGTATCCCACTTTCTTATGTTCTTATGTTCTTATGTACTACGTGCATTAGCTGATATGATGGTGTGTTTATGTAAGCCAGTGTACAGTGTGAAGTTGTGTACTAACGCATATATATTTTCCTTTGTATTTTGACCACATTATGTCCCCACACACAGTGGGACGTGACCCTACATATATTACACCTCACTTGTGTAGATTTTCAGTCACTCACATACAAGAACACGGTCCTCCTTAAACACACTCCCACACTCACTAGCCCGTTCGTACCAGCTCCTCGACAGGTGTCTGCACTTACAACATCTGTTCAGGAAATTTAAATAAAAAAAAATCAGTATAATTTTATGATTTGCCTATTTTATCTGCCTTATGCATGCTGTTCCTCATTAACATGCAAGGCGCGCACGAAGAAGTTTTAGGAAGGGATGGGTGTGTGTCAGGGCCTCATGATGGAAGGGAAAATACCACAGTAAACTAGTGGGGCGGGCATCCGCCAGCTCAAGTTATGGACATTTGACAGAATAATTTTCTTTTCATTTTATCCTCTTCGCCACTGAACAACTCGTTTGTCGCTTGTACGGTCGGTCACGTCTCTGTTACGCACTGTTGACAAGTACTGGGCATGAACTGAACTGACTCCTGAAGGTATCTGAACCGGCTCCAGTGAATGAGCTCACACTCGACGCCGTCGCAACACTTACTGGCAGTTTGTTCCAAGAGTTTATTTTTTTATTTTTTTTTCATTTTTTTTACAGGATTAGCCCACCAGGGCACAGGTTAATGGCCCACATCAGGGCCTGGGGGGTATAATAATAATAATAATAATAATAATAATAATAATAATAATAATAAAGGACCATAAAAAGCAATAGTGAGATACAATATATGTATGTTGTGTTGTCAAAGTAAGAGAAACAATTGAGACCCTGCAATTGTGTGTGATTGAGACAGAAAGTCAGATGAGCAACCTGGGACTTGGTCACAATTTTTGTGATGCCATATGGCAGCAGGGTCTACCATTAGACAACGCATTGTGCCTCCAATATCTTCCCAGGCGGTAGTACCTCCCTATTTGGTAGCTGCCTCCTACCTGTTTACAATTCTCGCTCTGATAAAGTTTGCCTCAATTTTCTGAAATTGTGGCATCTTCAACCTTGAGCTGTGACCTCTAGTGGGCGGGCATCCGCCAGCTCCAGGTATGGACACTCAATTTAGTGCCCACTGCGATGCTTATAAACTTCAAATAAGTCACCCCTTGCCCGCCTATATAGTATAAGCTAGGCAACTGCAGGCGTTCTAATCTCTGGGTAACTGAGGTGCCGTAGTGCAGGCACCAGTCTGGTGGCCCTCCTTTGGACATCTTCAATCAACTGACAGTTTCCAGCATATCTCAGGGACCAGATGGGATGACAGTACTCCAGGCAGGGAAGCACTTCACTCATGATATTTGAAAGACTTTCTTATTAAGACCTACTAGCTTAGTTTTTTTTATTCACCTTCTCACACTGGCTCGGGAACTTCAGTTCGGGCAATTGTGAGAACAAGGTGAATCAGTTGAAAGTACACTGTCTTATATTAACACAATAACCGCGGGTGGAAGAGACAACTCACAGCTGATGTATGTAAGTATGACGGAGAGAGTCCACCGGCCGAAACCCAGGGTGGTGAAGAGCTCGTCCAGCCCTGACGACAGCATTTTGTCTACTGGCCACTTTGTCACACACACACACACACACACACTTTTAGCTGGCACTGTCTGACGCTCTATTTATCGTTTTGAATCTTTCTTTCAGTGTCCACCAGTCTCACTCCGATTATCAATAATATTTTTGTCCTATTGGATTATGTTATCAGCAGCCAATCACAGTTCCGGATACCTGACCCAGCGCGGCCCCCTACAGCAGCAACACCATAGCCTCCAGTACTGCCGCTTCCCTCCATACTTATTTCTCCCTTTCTTATCATCATGTTTTTCTTCATCTCCTTCTTATCTTTATCTTCAATCATATCTCCCAGAAGACTCAATGACGTTCTCGAAATACGTCAAATATAAACGGAACTGAAACTGTAGCAGTGTACTTATACAGTGTGATGAAAAAGTTGCAGTCACTGATTTTTTTTATTACTATATTATAACGTTGAACTTATAAGAAATGTTCAGGGTGATTGAATTTTATGAACGTCCTCTCGTGACTGTAAGTGACGTAACGAATTGTCTGCTCGCCCGTCTTGGCTCTTGCAGTGTATGTTACTCAGGATGAAATGGATAACTTCCTTCAGAGAACTACACCTTTTGAATCACCCTGTATGTTTTCCATCGTTATGGTAGTTGGGTGTGATTAACTCAGTGTGCCGTGGACTGGGTGTGTTTATGACGTGTGTGTGTATAACTCACAGGTGATAGGTCAGGTGTGAGTTGGGCCTTCGGGACGGCCACAGTTCACTAGTCGACGCCGCCCTCACTCTACCTACTACACCCCACTAAAGTTTCTCCTGTCAAGATTTAAGTGAATTTTCACCCGTGTAGAAAATATACAAGACAAATCGGTCAATCAATAGTGTCTTTATATTTCAGAATCCGTAGTGTTGCGTTTAAAGGAAAATAGAGAAGGAAAACACCAGTGGTCACATTAATAACACGTGTAAATATCCCTATTAGTGTGTCTAGAACAAAACCGATATCCAGTTCATTTTATTTCTACCAGTCTCTGGGGTTCTATTCCCCGTAAATGAAAAATATAAGAATACACCTCACTTACGAACTTAAAAACTGAAATAACGTCAAAAAATAGCCTCAGCGTTATACCGATACATCACTTTAGTTTCTTCTGATGGCAACTTCTGCTTTGGGACGTTTTATGTATTATCTTAATTCAACCAACTGGTGTACTGTATTACATTAACACTTACGAGGAATATTAAATTGTGACTCGACTCTGAACTTCCAGAACGTTTTTGTGTTTTAGGAGCGGTGTATCCAGAATTATTTTACTGGGTGAGGGAGGGAGAGCTAAAACCTTCATAATTATTCTTAATAATCAATAATTCCATAATTTTTTCTTAAGCAGGCTCAGGGAGGGATAGTAGTCGTCTGGAAGAGAGGGTTATAGACTGTATAGTGACTCCGAGGCTAGTGGGCCAAATTATTTTCTCCTGCAGCCTCAAGATCGGCTTACGGAGGTGGAGGGGGGGGGGGGGCGGGGGGGGTGCACACATTTGAATTTTTTAACCTTAAACAAATCCACACATTTTCCAAATTATATTTCCAAATGAAATATTAAATCTGATATTAATATTTTACCCACGCATAAACACAGAGTGACTACATTTTAGCTTATTCAAACATGCAACTTTGGAACAAATTAACTCAGAAAACTTTTACTCATCAAAGAGACGGACATGTCTGCATATTCATGGCCGAGCCTGACTTAACATACTTCCTGCTAAACTCGTGGCCCTGAGATTCCTGAAAGTCATTTACATCTCGCCACGTCTACTCTACATGTTCTTTTGTCCTCGGCTACAGGAATACATACAGTAACTCGTGGGCTACAGGAATACATACAGTAACTGGTGGGCTACAGGAATACATACAGCAACTGGTGGGCTACAGGAATACATACAGTAACTGGTAGGCTACAGGAATACATACAGTAACTGGTAGGCTACAGGAATACATACAGTAAATGGTGGGCTACAGGAATACATACAGTAACTGGTAGGCTACAGGAATACATACAGTAACTGGTAGGCTACAGGAATACATACAGTAACTGTAGGCTGCAGGAATACATACAGTAAATGGTGGGCTACAGGAATACATACAGTAACTGGTACAGGAATACATACAGTAACTGGTGGGCTACAGGACATACATACAGTAACTGGGCTACAGGGCTACAGGACATACAGTACACTGGTAGGCTACAGGAATACATACAGTAACTGGTGGGCTACAGGAATACATACAGTAACTGGTGGGCTACAGGAATACATACAGTAACTGGTGGGCTACAGGAATACATACAGTAACTGGTACAGGAATACACACAGTAACTGGTAGGCTACAGGAATACATACAGTAAATGGTGGGCTACAGGAATACATACAGTAACTGGTGGGCTACAGGAATACATACAGTAACTGGTGGGCTACAGGAATACATACAGTAAATGGTGGGCTACAGGAATACATACAGGAATACATACAGTAACTCGTGGGCTACAGGAATACATACAGTAACTGGTGGGCTACAGGAATACATACAGTAACTGGTAGGCTACAGGAATACATACAGTAAATACATACAGTAAACTGGTGGGCTACAGGAATACATACAGTAACTGGTGGGCTACAGGAATACATACAGTAACTGGTAGGCTACAGGAATACATACAGTAAATAGTGGGCTACAGGAATACATACAGTAACTGGTGGGCTACAGGAATACATACAGTAAATAGTGGGCTACAGGAATACATACAGTAACTGGTAGGCTACAGGAATACATACAGTAACTGGTGGGCTACAGGAATACATACAGTAACTCATGGGCTACAGGAATACATACAGTAAATAGTGGGCTACAGGAATACATACAGTAACTGGTAGGCTACAGGAATACATACAGTAAATAGTGGGCTACAGGAATACATACAGTAACTGGTGGGCTACAGGAATACATACTATGACTTGGCTTGGCGACCCATTAAGAGTAGGATTGATATAATGCGCTGAAGATTAATAGCAGTGTGACGCAGTGTGACCATGACTCCATCCACTCCTTGGTCTGTAAAATTAGGTACCCATTAACAGTTGGGTCAACTAAGGGTACCCCGGCAGTGAACCATTGACCCTTAGAACAGACTGTAAGTACTCTATCCGTTCAACCACCACACACCTGAAATCACTGTTTATACTATGCTGAAGGCAACTTAATGGTTATTGTCATCGAAAATGGTTAAAGCAAAATAAATAACAATAACAAAAAGCATCAACAACAACTTCCAGGGTGTGTTATTTTATCCCTCGAATGGAGAGAGAGAGAGAGAGAGAGAGAGAGAGAGAGAGAGAGAGAGAGAGCGAGAGAGAGCGAGAGAGGGAGAGAGAGAGAGAGAGAGAGTGATAATGATAATGATAATTGGTGGCCCTGTCCAGTACACCAACACACTTGTCTCGCCCCTCCCTGCCTGCCCCGCCCCACCTCACCTCATTACCATCACCACCACACCTGTATGGGATGGCATATCATACATCATTATGTTCAAATACTTGTTGAAATAGTATCTCTATAACAATATCTATATTACCTAATAAAATTATGATACACTGACGACAGCAGCACCTTTTCTGAGTACATAGATCTTTTAATATAAATTGAATACTGTATTTCATTTTCAGACCTGCACTTTAGATATGGCAACAGTTGTGCTGTCACCTAGCCGGAAACTAATGAGAGGAGTCAATGGTAAGACTTGGGTGAGTCTCCCAGAACGTCAGCTGCGGCTTCTTAGGTTTAATTTTTAATGCCATATCATGATTCATCAAGTACTGGGGCCCATTAGGATCTATCAAGACCTGACACCCATTAGGATCTATCAGGGCTGGGGCCCATTAGGATCTATCAAGGCCTGACATCCATTAGGATCTATCAGGGCTGGGGCCCATTAGGATCTATCAGGGCCTGTTCCAACTAGATCTAAGGCCTAATGGAAGTTGGGTTCCATTTAAGCAGAATTGTTGTTGTTATAATGTTATTACTGCACTTAAACAAGTAAGGTCTTTAAACATGTAACAAGGTAAATAATTACACTATCAATCAACAATTAAAAATTATGAGAGATAAAACTGTGTTATGAGCAGAAGAAACTAGACAGTAGACTAGTAACCCAAATTAAGTGGTTAGGTTTCACAGCTGTCAGACTGTAAATTGCATTTTGATAAACTAGCGTGTGTGTGTGTAGTGTGCATGTGTGTGTTCATATGTGTTATTCGTCACACTTACCAAGAGTAAGGAGTCAGGATCATTACTCAACCTTTAATTTTATCTTTTAACTGTACATCTTCACCATTAAAACCTCAATTTAAACTAAAACAAATTCCTTCTTGCCAGATTTGTGTTCGCCTTTCCACCCCCAACGTGTACGGTTTCAGAGGGCTGTGTTTGCCTTGATTCTCTTCATCATGCTCTACGAAGCCATAAAAAGAGGTTTTCCCTGCATGAACCCCCAAATACGATCATTGCATTTTCCAGGTTTAAAGTTTGTGAATACATCTCTCAGCAACTACAGTTCTGAAGTAACCATTAGTTCTAAGCTGACAAAGACCTTACAAAATAAATCATCAATCAGTGATGACTTTCCCTTCAAGTATCTGATTAATGAACCAGATTTTTGTACTAGACGAAGCAACTTGTACGTTATCAACATTGTAGGCGTTGCACCCTGGGAAATCAGAGCCAGAACCCTCATCAGAAGTCTATGGGCTCATGAAACCTGGCAAAATAAGACAGGTTTCAGAACTGTCTTTGTGACAGGTATAGTGACTGACCACAAACTGATGGCTGCCTTAAGAGAAGAGAGCAATAAGTACCACGACATTTTACAGTTCAATTTCCTGGACACATATGATAACCTCAGTCTCAAGACCCTGTGTGGCCTACACTGGGTTAACAACTTCTGCTCAACACCTGTCTGGGTCCTTAAGAGTGACACAGATGTTATGGTGAACACCTTCAGGCTCACCAGGTGAGATAATGAGATGTTATCAATGTTTTATTTTACAATAGTCTATTATAATTAGTGACTTCTTTCTCATTCATATTAGATGGATTAAAAGTGTAAGGACTGAAATTAATACAGTGTACAGTATAGTAATAATACAAAATATATGCACACCATACATGTATTTACACTGAGGCTCTGTATTGTATTACCTCTTTACATTTGGGACTGACTCATTACTGTACTCTACTGTCTACAATTTATTAATTATACTGTACCCCTTTGAGACTTAGGGGAAATGGATATCAGCTTTTTCATACAGATCTCCTTTGTAATAAACAGTAAATGGTTGAAATCCCATTCAATTAATACATTACAGGTGGAGTTATTATATCTTGTAATACCTGACAGTGTTAATTTTTTTCTCGGAAATTTACTGTTGATGTAAAGTGTTCTTGTTTTATGAGAGTTACAGGCAGGTAGAGCAGGACTCGTGTAGATCTATTTAGAGAAGAAACTAAATGGCCAAAATGAAAACTATTCACATTTTCTTTAGTATATTAGTAAGCAAGGTTCACGGAATTTTTTTATAAGTAAATTGACAACTGAACATGTGTACAGTATTCAAAAGTCAAATGAGATTATATAATACAACAGACTACAATACTGTTTATTATTTTACACAGATACCAAAAAATATCTTTCCAAAATGATCATTATTTAACTGGACTCTCCTTTCAGGTATCTCCATGAATATGATGAGAAAACAAATCACAGTAGGAACCATTTTCTGTGCAAGCCCCGAGGCCCAGCTTCCCCTTGTCGTACGGGGTGTCGAAAAGTGAAGTGGCGTGTGAGCTGGGAAGAATACCCTCATAACAGATACCCGGTCTACTGCATGGGTCCTGGCTATGTCATACCTAGGTATTAAGTTAACAAATATTGCAATTGGTACGGTATATTGCTGCATTCATATTTAATTTTAATAGGAATATCATTTGGCTAAGTTTTGAGCTGTCAAAATAAAGTTATCTGAAGTGTGATTGGGGCGACAAATATTTACAACAGACCATATTTTTAGAATCTCTTTTACTCATTTTTTTTTATATACAATGACTCACGCTTAAGGTAATACACCATGGTCTTAAGTATTCCACTCTGTTATCACTGTTAGGATCTAGAAACCTTTGCTTCTTGCACAGACCAAATGTTACGGTGATGCTACAGTTCCCTTTTCTGCCGTACGGTGTAACTACTGTACCGGGTTTATTTGTTTGTGTGTGCGCGTGTCCCCACTTGTCACATCCAACCGAACAGGAACACAATGAATAAATGAATATCAGTTAACCATGAAGGATCAGATTATAAAACAAAGTGAAATGTAAATTACCTGTCAGCTAAATTTGAACAAAATCCATTTGACTGATATACTTTAGAGCTGTTCACACACACACAAACTAAAGGATAGACAATAGTTAGCCACACCACTAGCGTGTCACATAAAGGTCAATGCTTATTTCACCTGATGGATAAACACCCAAATGCTAACTTAACCAACCGAATCAAAACCTCACCTAATCCAACTTAACCTGTCCTCCCCATTAGCATTAGGGTGTTTAATCATCAGGTGAAACAAGCAGGAGTACTTAACCCACACAATGGCCTACGAAAGGTGTAATCAATGTTAATACAATACAGGGTACTGTATATATTTTCTTTTTATACAGACAAATGGTACCAGCTCTATACCAAGCAGCGAACAAGACTCACCCCTTCCGCTTGGAGGACGTCTACTACACGGGCATTATTCCTAAACAACTTAATTGGGGAAACATGAATGAAAATATTGGTCATCTTTTCCCGTGGCGTCCAGTAGCTTGGCAAAATTCTTTTGTAAAGAGTGACCTCATGATATTGGAACTTGATAAAGGTTTGGGACAGTCAGCATCCACCACAGTTTGGACCAAGATTCTTCAAAGTATGGGACTTGAACGTTTAGTACAGAATGAAAAAAGATTATAATCACTTGAAGATAAAGCATATTAATGACAATACAGGAGACGCTATGTATTTGTGTGTTCCCCATTTGAGGTTTTAGTTTTACAGAGGTCAGCTTCATTCCCCCACATTGGTAGTGAACACTGAAACTTTTTGCCATTTTTTCTGTGATCCTGTTACCCTTAATGATGATGCCTACAGGAAAAGCGAGAGATGATGCAGTGAGTCGGTGTAAGGCTGAACTCCCTAAAACTCCTTGTGAGGCCCTCGGAGAACAGTGATGAATATGATTTACTGTATTTATATACTGTATCCTTAAACTAAACATCCTATCTCTGACACAATTTTCATCATAATCATGTGGTGGGTTACGGTGATACACTGAAATATTATATCAACCTTAACCGCAATTATTTTGGCATATTCGTTACTGTTCCCCTAAGCGCCTCACATGTTTCACGCGGCGTGATGTGAACCACAGCCTGGGAACAACGGTACTTGGTAACATCAGTACTTGGTTAATTGTTATCCGAATGTTATAAGGAGTAGTAAAACAATATTGATTTTGCTAAATACACTATGTATAATTTACCTTGTGACCAGCACAGGTATAGCAATGATACTGTATAAGGTTAACTCATTACAAAATACATATACAGTATAACAGGTATTTTATAATTCCTGGAATCTTTAAGTAAATACCCATGCAAAGTTTATTATCTCGTATAACTTTATAATTACTAATACAGTACAACAAACAGTTTAAACAATTATTGTATAAAAATAGAAGGAAGCAATTAATATTAAATAATAATAAATAATAGAAAACTAAATACTAACAGACAGGAAGAAACTGGTATGGTCTTTAATAAATAGTGCTTAAACAGTAAACCATCATTGGACATTGTATACTGATAACTGTACTGTACTGAGGACAGCAAACTGGTTCACCTCAGAGGCTACCTGTATCCCTATTGATCTCATGTACACATATAGATGACATGGTTTACGATGTGTGGCAGCATTTATCGATGGAAGCTTTTATCTTCCTTGTGTTGCATTTTTGTACACATGGGGGAGGGGGGAATCCATAACCGTCGATTAATCCCTTGGGTACGAGGTCCCCTCTGAGCTGAATAACATCGTCTGGCATTAGCTACATTAAATATTAAAAGTGGTGTCCCCATAGTGTTTTGAAAGTGAATGTGAGTAATTTCAAATAAAATAGGAAAAACAGGATGGTTACCAAGAAAGCTGGCTGGGGCAGGGCAGGGCAGGCCATCTGCCAGTGGTTGATACTGTTGTACAAAAATTTTCCCAGATACTGTTCATGTTTACCTCTCGGCAGTCAAATTTAAACAAATTATTTCACACACCTGAAACAATGTTTATAAAAGAAAAAGAAAAGTAACAGACGTGACCGATCGCCCAAGCGGCTGACGAGCCGATCAGTGGTGCAGAGGATAAAAGTAAAGTAAAGAAAAAATGTGCTAGTTTGGCTCATTATATGAGTGAGTCAAGCTTCAGATACTGTGATACATTGATACAGTTTTGTCAACATATTGTACTTGTTGAGGTGAAAATAACAGTACAGTACAGTACAACAGTAGGTAAAGATGATGGTAGAGAAAAATCATTCACGTGGCCACAAGAACGTACAAGAAAATATGAAGAAAAATCGGCTGTCAGTAAATAAAGTACAAATTAGAGTAACAATAGTGTACGATAAAAAATATATTAAGTTTGGCATTGTTACAGACTATCAAAGAAACGAAAGTCTTGGTGACAATTTAAGATAGTCCTTCAGTATCTTCCTTGAGTGGTGGTCCTCCAAGACTTCTAATTCAACAAGAACTGCTCTCTTCAAGGTAACATAACATTAAGTGGCCATGGCAAATTATCCTTGAAGGGAATTCCAGATGGGTAGTATTTGTGGAAGTTGTTGAAGACTTCAATCATCTCCTCTGGGGTGGACGGACAAGCTGGATACATACTCTCACATCTTCTAGGACTTCCTGAATATCCCATGTAAGCTGCGTGTGTGTAGGGGTGGAAGGAGTATTGTGTTGTCATCTGGTCCAGTAACCTGCAAGGAATATTACCTTAGATCGATGAAAAATTGTGATACTATTTAAGGTTCTGAAAGACATGTGGAGTTAACAAGTGACCTGGAGAGAGAAGTGAATTATGAGGAAATTATTTTACATGTGTTGAATAAATGTGTGTGTGTGACTATACATAACTGAACAAATGTATGTGTAGGACTGTACACTGCTGAACAAAAGTGTGTGTGTGATTACTGAGTTGAACAAATGTGTGTGTGACTGTACATTACTGAACAAATTTATGAGTGGGACTGTACATTGCTGAACAAAAGTGTGTGTGTGTGTGTGACTATACCTGTACTGTGTTGAACAAAGGTGTAAATATTCAGGTATATTCTTTTCACTCATCATCTTACAGGGAAACATACTTTCATTATACTATACTGTACAGGTAAATATATTATTCAAGTACCATGGCTGACTTGGTCTCACCCCATAACTGTTTGTGAAGTAAATCCACTGAACAGAGTATCAAAGATGCTACGCTCTTGTCGGGAGCTATCAGAGGCGCTACGCTTCTTTCTTCTCCCGAGGTCACTAAGGAAACTGAGAAATCCATTTCTTTGAGGTCTTCTCCTGATTGGTCTTCTACGTCTCAGCAGTGGAGGTCTATTTTCTCTCCTGTTTGGATTTTGAGTCAGAGTATCAGGGTTTTCTCTAAAGTTTTGGAAGGAGTTTTGGAAGTTAGTCCCACCTATCGTAGGCTGGAAGGTTTGAAAACTCCCTTGTCCCACCTGGAATATGTGGAATTGTGGTTAGGATTCATAAACATTCTGGTATTAGAGACAAAATAAAACTCGTCATATCAATAGTTAGCCTTCGTAAATTACACGCCTTGTACTGTACACAAAGTCATCCAGTAACTTTATAATGTGGGCAATTTCTCTCAATGTCTCATTAGACTTTTAGCTAAGTAACTTAACCTCAAATTTTGTTCATGATATATAGACTACATTACAGGTACACTGACGTTACCTGGCCTGTCGGTGGAGGGTGAAACTGAGGAAAGGATCCTGCAGGAGGAGGAGGTCTAAAGGCTGGATTCTGGAATGCTGGATTCTGGAATGCTGGATTCTGGAATGCTGCGTTCTGGAATGCTGGATTCTGGAATGCTGGATTTTGAAGTCCCTGTTGGAGAACTTGCTGAAATCCTTGCTGGATTGTAGATGAATCTTGGATAAATCCTTGTTGAAAGGTTGGATCAAAGGCTGGTAATGATGGAACTGGTAAACTGAAAATATTGGAAAGACACAAGCAGGTAAGTGATGATTTTTCTGGTGAAACTGTTAGTTGTTAATGACAACACATACTGCAGTTTTTATCAGGAAGTTTCTTAGAAAATTTACCCAAATAGTAATTAGTCACAAATAGCTGCACAAAGTGTCCCCGTTGTACATGAGTAAATAATACTTCTAATGAGCCTCAAAGACAGTGTTATAACAACTTAAATATGTACAAAAACCATGTGTCGGGTAGATCATGCAGCTTCGTAACAGCAGAACTTTTGGACAGTACTGTACAAAATAAGTTTGAGTTCAGGGGTTTAAAGTTGGCAGGATATTTATTTTTATAACCAGAGACGCTCAATAAATTTACTTAGACACTTACACAACAGAGATTCCCAAAACAGTACATTACCTTGGTGTGTCTGGCTCCAGCTGAGAAGAAGCAAGGGAGCACATTAAACGCTCCAGGCACTGGAAGCGGTCAACATCAGGTAATGTACTACGAAGCATGTCATCCACATTCTCTAAAGCTCTGTTGAGGTAAGAAGATCCCCCATAAGTACATTGTTTCAAGCTAAATGTATAGAGCAATGAATCATGAGGTACACGACTTGAAAATGCATCCCAACGAATTACATGAACAGTTTTTAAGGAAAACCATTTAAAATACTGTAGATACAATTTACCTAATCAAACGGTGAAAGCTGAAGAATGGATAAAAGGAAATTTTTGAGAAATTTATGAAAATACTGTATCAATTTATAACAACGGCGGTTTGGCCTTTTCTAGATACCTTACAAAAATTACGACTTCATTGTTTCTAAAGGAATATACAGTACACGTACAGTACTATATCTTCCTTGATTACGAGTGTTGACATCAAACAATGAAGTTATGGTAATGACTTGCAAAAGTAATTACAATTTTCTAAAAGCCATTTGAACAAGTAATAATCCAGATATCAAATTTTGGTCAACAGATCCTTAATCAGCATGTTCAGGAGTACCTATACTGGGGTTTTGAACAATATCTATTTTTTGGCCACAAATGACAAAAAATGTAAGTATTATGCCTTACAGGATTTTTGGCAAAAAAATAGATTTTGTTCAAAACCTCAGTATAGGTACTCCTGAACCTGCTGATTAAGGATCTGTTGACCAAAATTTGATATCTGGATTATTACTTATTCAAATGACTTACATTTTTTGTCATTTTCGTTGTATGACAGTAGGAAATATTATGATCTCAAAGCCCAACTGGAATTGGTTGTCAGTACCTATTCCAGTGACCTGGAAGCATCTGTTCTAGATGAGTTTTTGCAATTTAAAGACATTTTGTCTTCTGACTCTGACAGGTCAGTGACAAACATTTCCACTTTGCTGAGGTCCAAAGATGGTATTTTGACAACTGCCTTTCCAAACATTATTATCTTGGTAAAAATTTTCCTTACCATCCCCATTACAAATTGTGAAGGAGAGAGGTCTTTCTCTACTCTATCTAGGGTGAAAAATCACCTGAGGTCTACCATGGGACAAACCAGATTAAACTCACTTTCATTATTATGCATTGAATCTGGCCTCCTACAATCCCTTGACACAAACAGTATCATTGACAAATTTTCCATGAAAAAAGTAGGAAGAATTTATTTTGAAATTCACACAGTTTGCTGTACTTCAGGTGCTTGCAAAATTGATTATGCTTCCAGTTAATTGTATTTCTTTCATTATTCCCATATATAAGATGTACATGATATAGAACTAATTTGATTAAAAGTAATGATGTGTCACATTGTGTTGAAATTCTTATTTCTTACATTATAATATTAGGTAAATCCGGCCCTGCATGCAGTGATCACCACACCTCTTAGTTTGGAGTTACAGGAATAGGTTTAAGTGAGATTTTGACACTTTTCAACGTCGATTCAGTCAAGTTCTGTATTTAAACTCCAACAGCGTATTCGACATCCTATTGTACATTATTGAGTCATGGGAAATGACCTGATAATTTTACAAATTTAAGGCAATTTGATAATGGCGTTGGAAGAGTTTGGAGACGACGCCAAAATTTTAATGATAGTGACGGAGAATAACAATGAAGCATTGCCATTTAGGTATTGATGTTCACTGCATTTGGAATATCTAATATTTACATTCTATACTGTTGATTAGAACTCCCATTATGTACATTACTCCATCAGTGAACAAAACTGTTAGAGGGACGACTATGAGACAGTCTGTCGAAGGAAGAAACAGTAACTGCAGTGAGTGTTAGTCAGCAGTGAGTTCTAGCAGCGCGGTGGTCAGTTGGGGTAATAAAATCTTCTATGTGTTAAAACAGTTGAAATTCTATATACTACAGTGCAGCAAAACAAAGATCTGACATTTAATGAGCCACTGATCCTCACAGAGAAAATATCTGAAAACAAATACCGAATGAGTTTGCTATATTTTTCACCTTTGAGTTTAATAACCGCAATGTGATAGAAAGGTAGACAATATTTGTAACAAACTGCAAGTCATGTGGGCAACCTGAAACGTAAGGTCAAGTACTGTACAGAAGATGAGGTCAGTAGAACTATATTGTGTCAGTAATTTACGAAGTTCACAGCTTTAGTCTTCGAACTTTACCTGAGATAACAGTAAATATAAATTAATAAAAGATTTATATTACCTAAGAGACTGTCACAATGTTATAATGTCAGTCATTTGCGAAGGTCACAACGTTAGTCTTGGAGCTTCACCTGAGATAACTGTAACTGTAAGTTAATATGATGTTTACTGAGATGAGAAAGGTGTAAAATTGTATTAAACTACATCAATTAGTCAGCAACAGTAGTTGTAGGTTACGGTGTATAACAGGAGCTATGGCTGGTTTACGTTGTAAAATACATATATGTTTTTAGTTTATTAGTAGTTAGCACGACATGTAGACATGGTTGAAAGGAATATATAGAGACTGACAAAATTCCATCATTGGCAAATCTGAAGCCGTCCAACAGTTGGCGAGTGACCCTGTGGTGGAGGGGGTGTCCCTGTGGGTTCTCCCCGACGCTCTTCTCCATGGACGACACACGTTCGGAGGAACCTGCAAAAAACAACATAATTAGATAAATGAACAACAGTTACGTACCCAAGGATGACTCGCAGCTGTGGACCAAATATACCACTAGCAGTTGCTGTTGTCGCCGCTGCTGCGACTGCTGCTGCCCCCTCGCCCGCTGTTGTTGATGCACCATCTAGGCTGTTACCTGAAACAATTATGTTACCTGGGTGTTGAAGGTATTGTTTTTAGTGTAGTGATCGTAGCAAACTATACTTCAGTATTGTCATTGTGATCATTCATTGAAAACGTAGCAAGTCTTTATATAACGTTTCTGTGTTGTGCGTGTGAACAGGAGCATCTTGTTTTCATCCCTGACGCTTCAGCATTTCTTTAGTAAATTAAAAGTTATCTGTTTCTTGCTCCCCTACCAGCTTTCCATTCGATGCATTCAAACAAAAGTTCTAGAGAAAATCCCGAAAAATTAATTAAGATGGCCGCCCATAAACGAACCACTAAGGTTAACTGGACACACACACACACACACACACCATAAAAAAGTATCGTGCCAACTTTGAACCCATGAAATGACCCATTACGGTGGTGTGTAGTGTGACAAAATAAAACTTTGCATTTGATTTTGTCTCGTTGTTGAAGGATATGAGACATGTGTTGTGTCACGCGAACATACAACACAAATAAACTAGAGGTGTATGTAAACTTAGAACAAACAACTTTCCTCGGAGAGATACATTCTACCTTCAATAAAATGTCACGTATACAACTGAATTTGGTTAGAATTATGTTCAGTTTTGTCGATTTTATAATTTATAATAATCAATCACAGATAAACAAAATTTACTCCATTAGAGATTAAATAAAATTTTCTCCGCCAGTAAATGAAAAGATTGGAGCGTTGCTGAACAATCGTAACAACACTCGAATAAATTCCACTTAAAAACTAACTCAATTGGGGGAAGTAAATTATAATTAGTTACTCTTTATATTAAACTGTCACCCGTATTACTCTATATTTTACGTTAGGACTAAACAGTAAAAAGTATACTTGATACTAACCTTCATTGTTGTCACCCTCGTCAGCCCCCGCTAGAGCCACCGTCACCACCACACACCACAGCCTCCACCGCATCTGCCGGAACACAACATTAATCATATGTAACAGGATGATGTCTCCTTTATATACTAGTTGTATGAATAAACTTAGCGTACGTGCTCAGCAGAAAAATACCTAAAAACAACAAACAAATGAAATTAGAATATCACTTTGGGTGAGTTTAAACGACGTATGACTCATTGAAAAGCATCACGTCAAAAATAATTTATCACCTGAAGATAAGCCACTCCAGCTTATTTCACCTGGTGATTACACACCACTTTAACCTGTCCTAACTTAGCCTGACCGCCTGTTCCCCATGTGTGGCCCGGTTTATAATATACTGTAAATGCTAAAAATAACAATTGTGCTATTAAGTTTCAAACGTTGTTGTCAGTTGTAGTCTGGAGATATTTCCACTTAAACATCTACAACAACAATTAAAAGATCATAAGATATTCATCCCGTTGTCTAATGCAGAAACTGAGACTTATACTGTACATTGTAATTAAAAACCTTAGCTGTTGAAACTCCGAATAAAACGAGATTCAGATGTTGATGTTAATTTAAAACTGCACTTCAGCAACTTGGTAATTACACTAGTTAATTAAAACAATTAAGAATATATCGGTTCGGAGATGTAGAAGAATACCGTGGACAAGTGAGAGGAGAAGGGTAGACGCATCTAGAGAGTGAAAGGGAGGATCCCGGATATGTGACGTCATCCCGGATAGATGGGGAACTTTGTGTGAGTTTAAACTAAAGGTTTATGAGTATGATTCATTTTCTGTCTTCTATAAATTTAATTATTTGTAACTAACTTTCTGGTTTGTTTCTCATAGAAGACGAGGATAATAAAGGCGTGTGTTGTCATGGTATAGTGTCCTTGTTGTTGTGGTGCTACGGAAGAATGCTAATAATTAATTAGTAATATTGATATAAACAATTGGAGGACTAAGGAAGACTAGAGCAACGAAGGAAATATTTAAAATATATAGAATAAAGCAAATAAGATACAATGGCGACATGATTAAGAGTGAAGGGATAATGGTAGAGATATTAATGGTACCAGTAGAGGTCGCTAAAGACAGCCCGAAAAAAAAAAAAAAAAAAAAAATAAATAAATAATAAATAAATAAATAATATATATATATATATATATATATATATATATATATATATATATATATATATATGTATATATATTTTTTTTTACGGGAATTATCCCACCCAGGCACAGGTCACTGACCCACATCGGGGCCTGGGGGCGAGAATGTAATAATAATAATAATAATAATAATAATAATAATAATAATAATAATAATAATAATAATAATAATAAAGAACCACAAAGAAATACAAAAAAAAACAAATAAAAAGTGAGGAACAATGTATGTATGTTGTGTTGTCAATAGTAAGAGAGACAATTGAGACCCTGCAATTGTGTGTAAATGAGGCAGAAAGTCAGATGAGTAACCTGGGACTTGGTCACAATTTTCATGATGCCATATAGCAGCAGGGTCTACCATTAGACAACACATTATGCTCCAATATCTTCCCAGGCGGTAGTACCTCCCTGTAAGGTAGCTGCCTCCTACCTACTACTGGTTGTCGACCCTCAGACCCATAATATTTGTCTCGCAGATTCAGGTTATTATATTTTGTGTAATGAATACGATTTAATTAGCTTTAATATATATTAGATAGTGTTGATGTTATGATGTATTACTACAATTCAACAACTGAAGTCTTTAAGCACGTTAACTAAGACATCATATATTAAGATAGGAGAGATGCTTTTAATTTTCACACTGTTATTACAGAAGCCAAAAGATATTGTCGTTATCTTAAATCAAGAAAGGTTAAAGACAATGTAGAGGTGAGATTGTGATCAGTATTTTCACCTGCCGTATTACCCCGTGACCAGTGAGTCGGACGATGAACTTCGCCAGGTGACACCCACACGTCGTCCAGTGAAAGTTGGTGGCAGTCTTGTGTGTCTGTGTGGTGAAGCTCCCCGTTTCCTGGTGTAGGAGGTATTTATTGTTCGTTATCAAAGGACTGGCCGGAAGTGAAAACGACGGCGACCAGGCAGAAGGAAAATGAAAACAAAAGTGGTAATTGAGTTTGGGAAAACTACTGTAGACCAGTTTGAAAGAAAGGTCTACTTGTGGTAGTGAAAATGTCTGACGTCACGATACACCGCCCATCACGTTTATGCGTCAAATTTCCTGGTACTGGACTTCTTAACATATAGAGTGATGCATGTATCTTAATTTATAATAAACAGATATATTTAGTGTGTAGTCTAGGCTAGTGTACACGTTAAAAAAATAATAATTATTGAAGCATCGATTAATTTTCATCCTCACCCCATCACTCCACCCCTCCTTCCTCCTCACTCACATTTACTATTTTTTCAAATAGTTATGTAATTTATCTTGCCCTGCTTGGTGGTGTGCTCAATTTAACCATTATTTTCTAAGTTTGCGTCTGAATCTTTTCCCACAATAATGCTTCGGTTCTGAGGTATGCGCCATGTTAACAATCCCACGGTCTGTGAACCCGTTAGTTATGTCTTGGTAGATCACGTGGGCAAACTCCCCCAATTTTTTGTTTTGTTTTACTTAGGAGATATAAAACTTGAGATATAAGAGATCAATTATATGGATTTCTCTTGGTTTGGATGCTATTATGCAGGTAGCAGCGACCCCTTCTTTCAGTCCCTTCCTCCTTTCCCGTGATGAAACAAACTTTCTAATACCATTCCACCCATCACCTGGTCAGTGCTCCTTTCACCTCACTCCCTGCCATTCTCCCTCCAACCTACGTTAGCCCTACCGCTCCTCCTCCACCACCTTCACCCGTCATGGCCACCTAGTTGAAAGTAAGGACAAGCAGGCAACGGCAGGTGGGGAGCGCTACACCACATGGTTCAAGTCATGATGTCTGTGGTCAAATTCGTATCACTTCTACCACCTTGCTGTAGTAAAACAGATTCAGTAAGCAAGAAAACTGTAATTTGCCGTTCTAAGTTTTCTTAAAGATCTTAAACTAAGAATCTGTTGTATATAGAAATGACAACAAGAAAACTCAAGATTACATTACTAAACCATCGGAGAGTAAACATAAGCAGACCAAGAAGCCATATTTGTCCACCTAGCCTTGAATATACTGTATTTGGCGTCGAGTAACTAAGACGAGCAAATGGAGAGCTGAATGTTCTGATGCTGAGCCTTCACCGGGAATCCCAGTTATAAAATAAACAGTAGGTTAGATTTAACATGGCTTACTCATTGTGGCGATGAACCATATGAAAAGGAATTTCTTAGCAGTCAGTCTACTAACGCAGCTGATGTGAAAAGGTGGATACAACAAGGCAAGGATTTTTGTCTTGCAGCTCATACTTGTATGTAGCTAAAACAACTATCTGTGCAGGTGGGGGTCGATATGCTCCGAAATTTTACGTGTGACTAGTGACAGCCCTCATATACCAATATTTATCGCCCATGGTCTCCTATTGTTTCCCACAAAGTATGCACAGATAGTTGTTTTAGCTACTGTACGTAGATCATCCTTGAAGGCGTATTGTATTTTTTTAGTGTAAATATAGTCTCCTCCCAGTGAAAGTGACGAAGTTGTTTCACTAAGGGAGGTACTAAGGACAGTCGAGAGGGGAAGTTAAGCATTGGTTTACGTTGAAACGCACTGACTACAGTACTACTAAGTGAAAGGGAAGACGCGTGTTGACCGTTGGTATGCTGGAGCGAACACCAACCAGCGACAAATACCTGACGACTGACTCACAATGTGAGTCTCACATCAACCGAGTACACTCCCACATCACCTCAGAGTGCATTTTGTTAACTTTTTGTTATATAGTGTGAATGTGTATACAGAAATTATCTCGGAATATCTTGATTTTCTGTTATTAAAATATCATCTCCAGAGAATAAATCAACGCCTTAAACTGAAAGATCATTAATGTGAGCAACCAAAAAGTAAGTGAAAGTTGAGTTGCTTTTGTCATGTATAAATACACTGCACCATCTCTGTGTACAATTCCTGCGCTCAAGTTTCTTTTCTCTTCCTTTTTCTATCGAGTTCTTATATTATTGTCGTTTCTGTTAACACGTTCCAGGTAAAAACAAGTCAATGCAAGTTCAGTTAAGGGAACAACTGAAGATTAACAACTTACCTAAGCTAACCGACCCCCCCCCCTCCCCCAGTTAGCGTTAGGGAATTTGATCCCCATGTGATCTTAGTAAAGTAGATAATGTTGCCAAAGTTTGATGAATAATTTCGAAGACGTTCAGTATAAAGTGAAGGGCGGCCACAACAAGGACTACACTGCACCACTACAAAAAAGGAGAGAGAGAGACTGTGTGGGGGGGCGGGGGGGAGCGAGAGAGAGTCTTGAGGTAGAATTTCTTAACGCCTCCTTGGTGCCCTTGTCTTCATGAATTAATCGAACAAACTGAACGATTTAGTGTGTACGATGTCCATTTTTTGGTGTATTATATATGAGGTTTTAGATCATTGAAGTTAATAAATCTATTATATATTGGTGAATTAATACAATGGCAACAAACCTAGCAGACCAGAGCTGTATTGTGTCCGCATTGAGATTATAAGTTAAAATTATATTAATGTGCTTGTAGAGAGGTCAGTAACTATAGCCGCAACTTAGTTAATTCCCAAGAAACATCTCAATAATGGATTCGAATGCAGTGAAAAAAAAGTAAAAGTCAAGAAATTATCTTTTGACGAGTAAAGTTAACATGTAACTATCCAGAGAGAAAGGCAGGTGGGACCCAGTGTTGTTAGCTTAGGTTTGCACTGTGGGGCTCCGGGGAGAAAGTGAGTGTGGGAGTGAAGGTGAATGGGGTTGGGAGGGGGGACCACGAAGAGTGTGAGGGGGAGGGGGGGAGGCAGAAGAGTGTGTTGGAGGAGGAAGCACAGTTAGAACAGTTAGTTAACCCAAGATAGTGATTAGAGACTCATGGTATTTTCATCTACGTCAAAAGCCTATACAATATACCGACGCTTAGTTCATATACAGTAAATATACTATGTTCATAATTTCTGTTCACCCGGAATGGAAACTTTTGATTCGGATACCGTTTTCTTATTTAACTCTAGTTTAATCAATAACTAAAAAGGATAGAACAGATATGAAGAAAACCTTTAATGAATGAAACAGATAGATGATTTGCATTGTGTCAAAGAAGATGGCAGAAAACTTGCCACATGTGAGAGCAACGGTCCGAGAAACGTCAATAAGGGAGACAGGAACTCGTCGAAGAAATCTCTGGGAAATGAACTTCACTCGCCATCACAAACGTTTCTCGGTACTTCATGGTTCACTTGGTTCAGTGGCCTGCAAGATCATGGAAGGTCGAGCATGACATTACGTTTTATCTGCAGCTGATGTTCCGGCTCTCTCAACTTGTTTTTATTGACAGTCGCCAACCTTCATACCGATAACCTTATTTGGGAGAAACTGACTTAAAAGAAGGTATCGCATTTCTTAACTATCAACAAAAATATGGTTTAAAAGTATAGAACGCGGTTAAAATCATTAAAAACTTATGAAAATTTTAAATTACATAAAACTTTGTTAGTGTGGTTTTAAGGACATAGTCTTGAACAGATGACCTAATATGACTCGTAGAAAGTAGCAGAGTAGTGTACAGTAGATGAGTGTGTTGGGTGTCTCCGAACTGGAGTTACATAGCGTGTAATAAACGAAGCATCAAATGAAAGAGATAAAATAGAAAGTTCCCTCAGTGGCGGGGTCGTCACAACGGACCAGAAAGAGCGGAAGTTTCCGTAACTACAGTAAGAGGGTTTGTGTGGTGGTAGTGTTACTCGAGATAAAACCTGGAAGTTTCTACAAGTAAACATAGCTGGGAAGGAAGAGAAAATCACGCGGCATTACTTGATATTCTTGGAACTGTTATTATGGCGTTATATAACATCTTCGTTCTGGTAGCGCTGTTAGGTTCACTTTAGACCCTTCGTTCTTTTATTACTAACCATAGGACACATTATTTAAGAACATATAAGTAGCACGTATCGTGAGTATTTCTGGCAGACAAGGAACGAGGGCGCCTGCGGCACGTGTGGGTGGCTGGGCGGGGCGGAAGAACGTCTATTACTGCGGTTATGTGGCATGTTTATTGTAATGGATATGCAATTACACCATGAAATAAGGCCATTTGTGGCATATTATTTTACACGGTTTCCGTTATCTATTGTATATATACTCTCCAGCTCAAGAGATTACGAAAACATCTTGATATATCCATTACGTATAGAGTAAATTTATTTGATATCGTAGTGGTAATGTTTATTGTGAGCGGGGAATATTTCTGTGTAATACTTTTATAACAGCTATCTGCCATCATATTCTGCTGCTACTTTCCTGTGTGACCGCAGTGTAAACGTTGTATACACTGTCTCTGGGATCAGTGGTTGGGGGAAAGCGAGTTAGCCTATACGTTGTTTAGGTGAGTCCAGCTAGGCTTTTTGTACAACCGTGCTGCTAATATTATTTTTTTTTTAACCATTTCGCAGTCGAATATATTTTTCTACCTAACCATAACAGTTGTAGCCGATATTTTTAGTACATGATTTCGTAGGCTGTTATTAATTATTATTGGCCACTACAGTATTGCCAATCTCCAAAGTTACTGTTGTAATTAAACAGCCTCATCACTCGTGCGTTCTTCTTCTTTATATCGTGCTTTGACAACTGTCTTCCTACAAATTTCTTACAATACTGTATGCCTTTGTTGATCAACTGAAAGAAAACGAAGAAAAACGGAACTTCATGAAGTTTAAGAATTCCCTCTTATTTTACTTGATAATTAAACGCCCTCGCTAATCTAATCCCCCAATTAAACGATGAAATGAGAAGAGGTTCCTAATCTTCAAAAGATCTGAAAAAGTAATGTTAACTAAAAGTGTTACATCATAAGTTGTTTATAAATTACAATATTATCAGTGACAGGAACGAACAGCACATCACAAGCTGACAGTATTGAAGACAAAACTCTGACCGCTGTCTTTGGTTAAGAGAAACATGGAGTAAAAGTTAGCCCTGATCTTGATCCTCCACCCCTGCCCTTCTCCCACACGGTCGCCTCACCGACACAAAACAGGTGAAAGTCGTGAGGCAGCTCCCCCTCACTCCCTTCCCTACAATCACCCACAGTCCCTTTTTCTCCCCACCCCGCCAACCTTACCTTCACCCTCCCTGGGCCATTGTGTGCCTACAACTTAACAATTTCAATACCGTAACCCGATAATAAGAAAACACTCTATTAAACATGTTTTAAAAGTTGTTGATTCGTAAAAGAAAGCTTAAGTAAACCTATGCGGCCTCAGCTAATCTTGGGAGATAACCCGAATTGGTGGTACTCAGTAGTAGTTAAACCTTCCGTACTTTCACTCTCACAACATGCCCCCGAGGCATTTCTATGGCTACGCCTTTCTGCCTCTTGCCATGCGTTGTTTAGTGATTTTTGTTCTGTTTTTACCGTGATTTACTGACATTTTTAATAATGAGAATCATTTTTCATCATCATCCATAAGTGATAGTATTTGCCCCTCAAGGAGATGGTAAATATATTGCCAAGCATTTTCATTAGAAACAGATGGGAGAAAGAAATAAGCAATATTATTCTATTCATTACTTTATGAATCATATGTACTATATGAATATACCATTGGTCAACGACACGTTAGATAATATGGATGTAGCTTCAATACTCGCCTGAATGTAACTCACTACTAGCACCCCCCCCCCCCGATGAAATCGCCTGTAAATTTCTTTAACAGACACTAAACAAACATAAGGAGCGGATATAGCGCTCCCCTCCTGCTCCCGACTGTAAATGGGTACCTAGATTTACAACTTGGGGAAGTGAAGGCGGTAAGGTGCAGTACCGGCCATGCTGTATCCAGCTGTCCTTAACAAGCAGTCAGGTCTATGGGACCACTTTCACTTTCAAACAAACATAACAAACTGACGCCTCTTCCCAATGAAATCACTAGTTAATTTATTTACCTTAACATAAACTAACATACTTTAAATGACTAGTAAACATTTTGAAGAGAGTAAGGGAAAGGAAACATTTATTATGGGGGTTTTGTAAGGGAGCTTGAAAGGTGAAGTCGCTGGGTCGGTTACCACAATGAAAACACGACTACAAACTCTTATATATTGTACGTGGCGTGAAATACAGTAGAACCGCTATGATAGGATTGTATATTTATGTTTGCTGATGAAATTTAAAAGAAGGGAGAAATAGGACATATTTAGTATATTTCATTTTACCTTCAATCTGCTCAGTCATGTTTACCGTTTGGAATGTTATGTACACTGTAAGTTTACTAAGGGCGTGGCTGGACAAGCTGCCCTGCACTGCTAGCTTATATGTGACCGTTTAGGTTAATGGACCACTTCAAGGGTTCAAAGTTGGCACGATACTGTGTGTGTGTGTGTGTGTGTTTAAGAAGAGGTTTACAGTATGTATACGGGGTCATATATTTGTCATGTGTATAAAAATCCATGTGCGCTGTAGGTCACATTTTAATACAAGTTAAAGAAAGATGATATAAGAATTTTGAGTGCTTTGGCTAGAAGGGTAAATGCACAGAGCTTTTTCAATTCAGTACAGATATAACGCGAAAAGTGAGAAACGATTTGTAATGATATCCTGTCAAGAAGGAAATATTAATTTTGTCAATGTTACACTCTGAAAACTCAAATAATTAAATTCATCAATAAAATTACCTAAAATTATCTACTACCGACCCCCAATTTTCCGCCAGGGTGTTATGTCACACCCCAGCGACCATGTACCCAGCTTGTTGATGATTCTCGTCATGGCGCTTTAAATGAAAAACATCTCTTCGGTTTTCGTCCATATCTTGTACGTATTAATCTTGTTTTTTACATCATGATGCTATTTTGTTATCTGCTCGGTTTTGTCCATATTTATATTAACGTTTATTAAAGCTTGAAGATGAATTAATACCAACTTGATCACTATCATCACGTCAGCTTATTTTGTTTAGTTATCCTTCAAACCGTTAATATTCCGTTATTATAACTCTATATACTGCCCGTATTTTAGCATTGACAGTAATCCCTTTAGTTCTTTAAATTTATAAATATTTTTATAGTTTATAATGCACCATGAATTTAGACTATTTTGTATAGTTTACACATTACAATCGCGAGGAAGTGGGAGGATAGATGGTAGGAGAGTCACCCAGACACCTAAGGAGACAGACATACAACGAAAAACAAATTCATTTTTACGGGTATCTTTATTTACCTAATGGCCACACACTAGAGGTGGCCGTGCCAAGGGAAGGTGGCCACTGGCCTGTGTAGGATGTCTCATTTACACTACGATCGTAAAAACTTCAGTACTTACCTTTATTGTCATGTACTCTATAACAACACAGGTCAGTTATTATTTACCTCGAGTATGAAGTACGTTCTTACAATTAATACATTTCAGTAGCTACTTACTTTATTGCCAAGTACTTTATTACAACTAACATAGTTAAGAGTTACTTATTTCTACTATCAGACGTTAAAAAGTACAGTACTCACATTTTCTCTGTAATACAAAAGCGAAAGTCCAATTCAGGTTTGTGCACTGTAAGTTACCCGCGAGGCTCACGTCCTCCCAGAACACCTGACAACACCACACTAACACACCACTGACGAGAGCGAGAGAAAGTGGACAACTGGTTCTCTGGCCACCTGAGACACATATATAGTAAGAGGGAGAGAGAGAGAGAGAGGGAGAAAGGAGAGTGAAGTAGCCTGTGACGTCATTTGTTGCGTACAGTGAGAGGAGGGGGAACTCCGGTTTTCAAGGGTCAGTCAGAGAATTTTTCCGTCAAGCCGTTTTTGGCTACTTTCAACAGGAAAAGTTGTTTTGGGGACGTTCTCCCCGTAAATATCTGTTGGTGGTGATGATCATCACTTGATTCCGTGCCAAATTATCTACAGTGTCCTTCGGAAGTCGCCCAGTTTACGTTTTAATAAGCAAACCATTGTTACACACTATAAGACATGGAAGGTATGAATCTTCTTGAAATCCTCACCATAAAGTGTAGTATATCTCTCACCATTATATCTTGGGTTCGAATCCTAGCGCGAGACTCACCCGGGATGGGTGTTATTCACAGATTTGTTCTGAGTACTCTGGTTACCTGAGAACTTACCTCATGTACAAACACTGAACATGAAAGTTCATATGAAAGTAACAGAACAGAACAACATCCCGGACGGCTAGTAAGCTGACAAGTGGTGAAATAATAAATTAATAGAATTGTATACGCAAAGTCTTCCATTAAGCTTGTATAAAAATCACTAATCAGTATTCATTATTGACTTGCGAGTCTAGAAATTGTAGTCAAGTGACTTTCAGTATAGTAATGATACCAGCAGTTTCAGATATAATTTTTCTAATTGTACCAAAAGCACTGATAAATTTACACCGGGGGACATTATGAATCTTTTCCTCATTCGTCCTCCACACAGTTGCAATGCTAATTTACCGTATACGTTAGTTTACCATAAATAAACATTTCATTTTCTTCTATAGAAAATAAGGGGTGTCTTTAAAAAACAAATTCTGAATGATTTTTTTCATTTTCTCTCAATAAATAATATATGTATATATACATATATATATATATAATACATATTTGTGCGCAACCAAAATTTTCAGCATCTGTTTAAAGTACTCTCAAGTCTATATTATCATAATTCAGTTAGAATAAAAGAACTTTTGAGAATCTGATGATACTCTCTCCTCCTGAAATACGAAAATTTGCTAACTTGATAGACCAACATGAAAATTCGCGTTAAACCTCAATAGAGTATCCATATGTGAAGGTTATTATTATTAATTGTGTATGAAATATTAATTTTTAAATTCTAATTACTCACAGATTGTATCTTTTAATTCTTTTATTAAGATAAAATAACATTGTTCAATACCTGACCTACAGACTACACAATACTTACACTCATATAAGGTTAAAAATTCATTAAATTGTTTCATATACACATAAGTAATAAATAAACATTGAAAATAAGAATATTGAAGCTGAGTGAAGCAGTTATTGATATTTTAATTTTGATTTTGCAGTTCAGGAGGACCCGAGTCCCCGTCAGTGTAAACAAGGACCCAGCGAGGTATTTTGAGCTCGTGAATAATCCTTCTTCTCCTTCCCTGGCTTCCTGTCCTTGAGTCTTTCTTAGATATGGACCTAAAGAGGACCTGGCGCCGAGGTTAAAGACTGTCATCCTCAAGTAGAAGCTAGAAGAAGGGGAGGAGTGAAGAGGGTAGCGAGGAGGCGTGTCACTGATTTAGGCCAGCGGAAATACCCACAACAGGTCATTAAAACTACTCTGTGTCATAGTTCCGTCTGCTGTGATCCTGTTAGTGAGAGGTATGGCTCTTACCACCCCTTTGTTATTAGTTTATGCCTATTATCACACGGACATAGATACTGTAGATAGATATTCAGTAAAATTGTCATATAAGTTTACAATGTTTCAATATGTACAGTATATATACACTGTAGGTATAGGAACAGTTTACATAAACATTATGGGTGCACAAACAATTTGTAATAAAAATATAGATATACAAACAATTTAAAATGATATTGCAGGTATATAAATAATTTACGTTGGCAATATAGGTATACAAACAACTTATAAAGACAATACAGGTATACAATGAACATAAACAGTGCAGGCAAACAATGTACATAGTGTAGGTAAACAATATATATAATGCAAGTCAGGTATACAAATATATAATTTACCTAGAAAAAGAACTTTTCAAACATGAGAACTCAAAGGCTGTAATTTTCCTCCCTCAGGTTAAAATCAAGAATTATTTTGTGCATCACTGCCACAAGTATTGATGTACAATATTAAACATGGATAGCCGTAATGGGTCAAAGCACGTCTCAAGAATTCGTATCCTGAGTCTTGGTAATTCTGGAGTTGGTAAGGTAAAGGTCCACCATCTTATTGTGTATGGAAGAATTTGGACGAGAATCTCTTAACCTCCCAATGTACTGTACAGATAAGTAAAGATTTAAAGCAGTAGAAATCTGTTTGGGTAAAGTTAAATGTCAAATTGTGTGATGTCAAGAACCTTTTTTATTTATTTTTTATGAAGATAGTGAATATGAATGTATGTAGATGGTATAGATATATAAAATACACTAGATATTAAAGAAGAAAATTTACACATCCTTGGAAATACAGATTGCTGATACAATATAGTGCTGTACTGTATGATAGTTATTTGTCTTAATACAGTTGAAGACAGGAGAGAGTTACAATACACTACAGTACAGTATATGGATCAATTTTAACTGAATTCTTAAAGCCTAGAAATGTGTTAGGCTTTGGTTAGGTTAGGTTTGGTTAGGTACTGTGCATGAAGAGAAGATGAGATGGAATATATCAAGAGAGTAGAGGAGATAATGGAACAAAATACTAATCAGCTTAATATATATAATGAAAACTCAGAAAAAATTGAAACTAAGTTTTTTTTTTCTTGTCAGGATTGGAATATCTGTAGAGTTAATGGGTCGGTACATGGAGGGCTGTATGCATTAACTTTTTTTTAGGGGGGATGTTGCAAACGTAGGTGATCTGATTATTAGTTATATTTATAATTGTGATTTATCATGACTATTAAATAACCTCAGGTATTTATTTTATGCTAAAGGTACATTGTTCTCAGTACAGTACATACAATGCTTACTTTTCAGAGCTGCCTTATAAAAAGATACTGTGAGAATCGATTTGTTAACAAATACATCCCGACTGTTGGTATTGACTATGGCTCGACAAATGTTGATGTGGATGGACGTAAAGTCTCGGTTCACTTCTTCGACACTTCAGGCAGCCCATTGTTTGAGGAGGTATGTTCTGCATTAGTTACATACAGGGTATCTCAGAAAAATGTATAAATGCTGCTTTACAGATTTTCATGAAGATCCCATGACTATACATTTTTTTGAGACACATTGTAGTGGCCTTAATAGTGAGAGAATAATTCTTCATGTACGACAGTCATTGTTCATCTTAGCTCACTCATTCTTTGGTAATGGATATCTCCCACATATATTCTTGGCTTTGGTCTAAAGTACTTCATTACAGTTTGTCTTAAATGACCAGTGCATTAATTGGTAAACCAGCCTCAATCATCTATAGAAACACTTACGGTAGTCACAGCAGCTTATTACCTTCCTCTTCCTCCTGCTAGACTGTACTCATCTTTCTCTTAAACTGAACCTGTTTAAGTCTATTGTATTCTTAGTTTAGTTACTGTGCACTGTATTGGAGTACCTGTACAGTAATGCTGCAAGTTCTACATTGATATTACTTTTTAGCATTTGAAGTACAGAAGAAGGTTTCCTTTACTATTTATAGAGCTGTCAGCTGTGGCTTGACAGGAGGGTGGCACCTCAAGTCAGACAGGAATATGCTAACTCTGGCTTGTCTAGAATTTGATAACTGGCCTGTCTCAGATCTGACAACTCTTTCCTGACAGGAAGTTGACAGACCTGTAATTATCTTTAGAAACAACTTTTTTGTCCTGTATTTCTAATGACCTTTTTTATGGCTGTGGATACCATGACAATCAAGTTGTTATTTAAATGAAGTTGAACAATACTAATTATAATGGTTAAAGGTATTTTTCTTTTTTTGGTATCAATGAATAAATGACAATTGTTTTATTTATGTTTTAGTTGATAGAAGTACTGTAGTTCCATATCCAACACACTACATACAGTACAGTACTACAAATGACATTTATTACAGGTTCGAAGTGAGTTTTATCGAGATATGCAAGGAATTATGTTAACCTATGACGTCACTGATAGATCCTCATTCATTGCTCTGGATGCGTGGCTAGCAGAACTTAGACATAACTTGGGATCGTAAGTATACTGTATGTCAGTACAGTACCTCTTGTGTTTGTGGTGTGATCTTCATTTGTTTTACCAGTAATATTACTGCTGCAGTTATAGATTTTTTAAATTAACAAATTGACAGAAGATCAAGCATTAAAGGCAGTTATATGTAAACTCTTGGACTGCATAAACTCCTCTCAGTATTGGTGATGTGAAGTTATTTTTATTTTTTGTTCAAAGTTGTGCCTCTTCCTGTTGAGTTGTGTGTCACTCCTACTGGTAAAGTGTGAACTAATCGTGGGTCACATGAAACCAAATAGATCAGTGTGTTAAAATATTATTTGAGATAAAAGAAAAAAGGTTTCTGACCCTTACAGATGTTGGTAAAGTATACTTACATCTAACTGACCCGGTGTTGATGACTCCACTTTACCTCTTCCTGTCTATTAACTTGGCCGCTTCCCAACTTAATAAGGTGAAACTGATCTACCAGGCAGGGAGACTTTGAGCACCAGTGTACCTCTCTTACCCATGACTCATCTCTTACAATATACTGTAGTGTATAGGAAATAAATGAGATATACTGATTTACCTTATAAAATATGATTTTCAGTAGACAGCAACAGTGTATGAAAACCATTGTTATTGTAATAAATATCTCTCCTGTCTAACAACTTACGGTTATCTCTTTCTGAAACACACGTCTTTTCTAGCTGTTTAACAAGAATTTAGAGTAAACTCTCTCATGTCTGGTACTGTACTTTGTTTATGATCTTCATATCAGACTTAGAAGAATTTTACCATAACTTTGATTTTCCTGTTCCTAGGCAAGAGAAGTTCTGTGTTAACTCTGTTGCTTTTTCAAGAACTTAAGGTCCCTCAGTTGTCATTATCTAAGTACTAAAAACTACTGTTAGTTGTATGTACTGTTTTTTGCAGGTTAGTTTTTGTTTACCGCATGTTAGATGATAATAAAAAAGTTTGCTTTTTATATTTACTGTATAAATGTGTGACTAAAACTGTGTTACCCTCAACAAGCAGCTTGGAGATGGAGGAAAGCTGATACAGTAATGTGTGAGGAGTCTGCATGCCAGCACCAAGGTTTGTGATGAGTTAATTATTTTTTGGGATGCAGTGGTTAGTGGGTACATCACTCACCTCTACCGGTAGTCTTAATGTTCATAGTATCAAAAGTTCATTCATAGAGTAACCCCATGGGACCCACCTGACTTCATAGTTGGGCAAGTGAAGGTAATTGATTGTAGTGCTGGCCACACTGGTCATTTGTGTACCAAAGGCTCAGTAGTCATTGTGATGCATCTACACTGCACCAAATGAACCATCAGGCTTTTGGGACACATTTTCACTTGTTTGTTCTTGGTTCATCCCATAACTTTCCTCTTTTTAGGAGTTAAATAATAGAAACCCTTCAGGGAAACTTAATGTTGCTACAAATTAAAATGTTTTTAAGATCCATAATAGTCCAAGAATTATACGGACAGCTTTTTAGTTGGGTTTAAGTACTATAGTCACTAGAGATTTTACAGAAACAATTATGCTTATAAAGAGTTTGTTTGATTTTTTAAAGTGATAATTATTCTTCCTTTCAGACCTAATGAATGGAACTTAACAGTGATAGTTTGTGGCACAAGAACAGACACCGGTGGGACAGGTGGACGGCAGGTGTCTGAGGCTGATGGTCGTGGCTGGGCTGATAAACACAGCTTTTCCCATGTCCTCACTTCTGCTGCTCTGGGCAATGGAATTTCACACGCATTTCATGTAAGTGTTGGTGCGGGAGAGGAGGAGAAGGGAGGAAATGAGGGAGACTTTGATCAAGATATTGGGATGAAGCAGGACCATGGAGTGAGGGGCAGCATGTGCTTTCATACATAGCACCTGTATATATAGTAAAGTCATATATAAGAAGATAATTTTTGTGAATACCTTGTATACAATTGCTGTTATGTGTAATGTGTATAGCATAAATCTCTGGCTGTACTGTACTGGACCAGTAAGCTACCAGTAGATTATTATACTGCCTAGCTTAAAATTGTTGTATCATTACTTTATGTTATATTATGTGGAAATATTTAATAATCATTCATTGCTGATGATATTGAAGGTTAGCTTCTAATGATTTTTTTTGGTACAGACATTGTTTGTCCAAGCCTTGCAAATGAAAGATGGTATACGGCAGCCAGGTGTTGCAGGTGGTGCTATTGATCCAGATATTATACAAGCAATCCATCGTCTAACTCATGCCATAGATGACTTTGATAAGATGGGAATCAATCGCCGATCAATTTCAAGGTACCTTTATTCGTGTGTCTTGTTTTTGTGTCTGAATTATGTCATTCTAGAATATAATGTTGATAATTTAAGCTTTTTTTCAAAACATTGTGTGTTTACTCACAGCTCTGTCACCCTGGAGAGGACATAAAGTTACAATTGTAGAACTTTTTATGTTACTCTGATGCACTATAACTATTTAAGATTTTCTGAAAAGTCTTAAAAGTTTCTGGAATTACAGATATTTTAGACTGAGGTGACAGTTGACTCTAATGAATGAATTTGTCCATCACAATACCTCCATAGCATCTAGGACTTAACCCAACCCTCCATAGCACACGGTAGTACTGTATAGTATTTATCCATACCATGTGTGTTTATTTAGTGAAGTACATTGGAAGCTAAGGATACAATCTTTATAAACAAGTGCAAAACACTTGTATGTACAGTACAGTATATGAGCAAGTACTGTAGTATATGTAGGTACAGTGTTTGTAAATGTTGTCTTGGCACTTTTGTCATTTTCAGCATCCACCATTTTCTCTTATTACCTTTTCCTTTGGGGCTTCAGTACCCCCCTAAATTCACCTCACACAAAAGTGGGAGAATAGTGAAGATAATAGTTAGATAGATAAATTTTGTGCATACATTTTTGCTCATCAAGATCTTCAGCCATATAGACAAGTCTCCCCAACCTGCCTGCTACATGTTCCTCATATCCCACACGATCATAGTAATTCAAATTATGTACAGGTAACATATAAGATCTCGTTTACTGATAGAAGAGGGACGTCCATGTTGGCTACCTAGTATTCTATCAGTTTGTAGGTTTATGGGTTAGAAGTTTTGTCCTGCCATCTGATCAAGATTGTCATAAACTGCCTGGCAGGATCTTGGATCACACATAGCCTAGTAGGATGGCTAACTGATCCACTGTCTACTTTAATATTTATATTTTTGAGTGCAGCCATAGTATCTTAGATTATAAAGTTTTGGTGATATAGAATTATCTCATGTTTCGAACATATGAAAATTAAATTTGATATCAAGTGCATGCATAAGATATTTATTAAGTTTTATTGAAAACAAAATTTGTTACTTATGATCAAATAAGCAAAGCAGGCTAATTTTGAAAAGCATGTACAGTATAATAAGTTATTAATTAAGAGTTGATGAAAAACATTATTACCAGGTACCCTGTACAGTACTTGTTTTTGTCACCTAGGGACGAGGTGAACAAAGCTTACCGTCGCTTGGCAGCACTAGTTCATCCTGATAAGTGCAAGGCACCTGGAGCAGAAGAAGCTTTCAAGGCTCTCACTCAGGCAAGAAACAACCTTCTCAAGATAATGACAGAGACCACAGTGTAGGTTGTTCTGGAAAAGCAAATGTAAAAGTGCAAAGATTATTGGGATTATTTTTTCTTTCTTTCTTTTAATCATCTTTTTTCTTGCCCTTTTAAATTGTTCTTTATGTTTTAATTTTTCTCACCAAAATGTATCAAAGAGTCTTTAGGTATATGCTATGAATACATTTTAGGGGATATATAGTATAACATAAAGGGGTAAAGGGGGGACCTATGAAGATATAGTACTGTATCTCAAAAAAGTATCTGTCCACACTATGTGAAACATTATGAAACCACAGATGATAGATACTGGGACATGCATTTACTTTGCTACATAGTTTAATATAAGTAAAGCAATGTGTATTTATTTTGGCATGATTAATAATACGTTGTTACCAAATGTAGTAGGATCATTATGCCACAGAGCCACGCAAACTAACCCTCCCTGGACATCATGAGTTGCATGTAGCATTTTGGAAGTCATTGGAACAAACCTGGCAGATACTTTTTTGAGATACTGTACAGTTTGTTCTTGTGCTCATCGTTTCATGTCTGTGAGTTCGAGGGTAACCATCCTTGATGTGAGACATGGCTGATGTATCAAGGAAACACAAATGATGTGAAAAATAGCTGATACACCAAGGACACATAACTAACACAACAAGAAGAAGCATCAACAAAACATAGCTGACACTTATAAACAATGCCATACCCACAGTAATAAATCAGGCTACACCAAAGTCTCTGTTAATTTTAGGTGTGATATATGATAATTTCACTGTGACTCCCAAGAGTTCATTCTGGAGGAGTTAAAAAGGAATGGGAAATATTGTGAGCAAATGAATGATGGAGTGTACAGATGACATGAACATTCTGATATATATATACTGTATAGAAGTGGTTGTAGTTTCATTAGCCAAGAGGGACATATTGTTCATAGTGTATGGTGAAAGAAGTTTTACTTAATTTGGCAATACTGTATACTGTACATGTTACTTGTTAAAACCCTGCCGAGGTTTACGTAGTTGCATATTTACAGTACAGCTGCTTCCTGACTTACAACGGGGTTAGGGACCCAAATTCAGGCCGTAAGTCGAAAATGCTTAAATAATACATAGAAAATCTAAAATGGGTGTCTCTTTTTCTTCTCAGCACCACAAAACTCTCACTTTTAAGCTTGCCAGCCATTTTAAAGTGAATTACAAACAAAAATTTTTTCAGTACACAGCACAATCACTGACGTTGGGACTCGAAAATACGTAATTTGACAAAATTTTGGTACAACTGAGGCGGTCATATGTCCGGGTGGTTGTAAGTCGAGTAGGTCGTAAGTCGGGGAGGAGCTGTATTTCCATAGTGGTTCGGTAAGTAGGTGGTAGTTGTAATTTTGGTATACATCTGTGAGAAAGTACAATCACTATCCTAAAATTGTAGTTTATGAATGAATGGGAAGTTAACAATGGTATCTGGGACATGTAAAACTGATGTTGACAGGGAAGAGAAAGTACTGTACGTTATAATGTACAAAGGAAAGAAATAATATAAGAAAGGGATGAATGATCAAGTGAAGCAAAGTTAGTTCATGGCATATTTGTAGAGCTGTTGAAGAGGACTAGGAATGAGGTTGTTAATTACCATGCTTGAATGTACAAAGTAGTACATTATTGATGGTAGGAGAGGTGCTGGAGTTTAGGATTACTGATTACTGAAGGTAGTTTAGAGTACCTATACCTGTACTGTATTATATTTTAATTAACACCATTGGTTGTGGATAGTCAGAGGTTTTATCTCTCACTCCCACCCTCCCCAGCGCAATCACTCTACAGTTTATATCTCTTCATTCACTGTCTGGCTCTGTTGTCAAATGTGTTCTGTTGTGTTAATACTTTTCTGATACATGGATTAAGAAATTTTGGATTAGAATACAGGCATGGTAATTATTGTGGCAGAGTCCATAACAGCTCTTTTTTATGGTCTTTACTGTATATGAGTTTGTTCTTTAAACACTACTGCAACATCGTTAACCCATTGTGTACAGATTCCCCTCTGATCTGATTAAATTGTCCGCTAAATGAAATATTATAAGTGGCTTCCCCGTAGTGAAGGGGTTAATAAGAAATTTTCACTCATCTCACTTTATTAGTAATGACTCATTAATAAAATGGCCTTGCCTTTCCTTCATACAGTCAGATAATATAATGCCCTGTAGCAAAATGTACCTTATGGAGGAAAATTTTTGTTTATGAATATGAACAAAAGAAAGGTACTGTAGATGATAGTGTAGTGTCTCTTAATACTGAAAAACTATTGCATCTATTTTGCTGAATCTGTGCTCATTTGTTTTTATCATGATACATTCTGATTCTTTCTGATTTTTATGGCAAATGTGCCAAAGATTTTGCTTGTGTGGTGAGGCTAGTAGTGGGTTTTTGGTCGTCTTCACCAGTGTCACACCCACAAAGGCTATGACTGTGCACCAACAAGGGAAAGGGGCTAGAGTTCTGTCAGGATTTTGCTTCTATACCATTATTTTGGGGTTAATTTTGTAACAGTGTGGTCAAGATAGTTTGTATCAGTAAGCGAACACTCTTTTTATTGCTTTTGTTGGGTTATATCTGGACAGTTGTTAGATAAATGACAAGAGACTGTGTCCTTATTGAAATCCCTGGGTCAGTCTCCTGTGGTAGAAATTAATACATTAAGTGATCACTATAGGTTTAAGTATCAGTGTTAGTTATTGTGTCAGCTAAAGAGGTTAAGAATTTTACTCATTGGTTTTCAGTTCAAAAATAAATTAGATCCGAGACAAAATGATGTTTTCTTAGATTTTAGGAGATGTCAATGGTACAAGAATATCATGAGTGTTATCATCTGTACACTCCAAGAGCTCAAACTGGGTAATTCTCACATGATATTTTGTATACTGTTATAATATATATACTATACCACTATTATAAACCTTATTACTATAAATTGTTTATACTGTGCTACTGTAATTTCATATTTGTATGACATTGCTATACCGGTAATTTAGTATACAAGTTACTTGATGACATGAACTGTACTGTACTCTATTACTGTATTAGGAATAAGGCAATTTGTTGTTAGTAATATTTCAGTTCTTGGAAATTTTAATAGTTATGGAGAATTACTTTTTATTTTGATTTGAATTTCAAGAGAGGGTCAGTGCACCTACAGTATTTCACCTAGTTTAGTTAGGGATAGAGTAAAATTAATTGTTTGAAGATAACGCACAAAGTTGCAGGCCTGGAAATCCACGAAAAGACCACAACAGCTGAAACAAAGAGGAACAGATAACAATGGCCATAGAGTTTTTTGGGTGGGAGGGGGGAATCAAAGGGCAACAGTTCCCATGAAATTCCAAGCCTGGATCCAAATTCTCAAAGGTTTGCAAAATGTATATTTTGCATAACAAGATGTAAGAACATAACTAACTGGGGTAATCAAACCTTCTCACTGCAGAATTTGAGCAATGTTGGAAGAACTTTTATTAGCGCTTAAAGCAACAGCATTTGACTTCACGCTACAGCATTCAGATTATTTTTTCTTCTACTACAATACTGAGTTCAACAACTCTCCCATGGCACCAGTAAACAACCCCATGTGCTGCTGTCTGTGAGCAGCTCTGATAAACAGGATTGTAAACAGACACTCAAATGACGAGTTAGATTCCTGCGACGTCGTCTATACAGCAAAATTGTTTACTGTTTCACGATAATTTAAGTAACTTTTATATGGGATCAGATGATATGTAGTGTTATATCATACTACCTATTACTGTCTTAATAAATTATTATGAATGGTAAATGAATTTGTGTTTTTTTGTAAGTTGTTGTGAACCTGTTACAGTAATATGGTTTCAGGGAATCCATTTAACTTTTTTAATTTCCTGTTAATGTACTTCTTTTTAAGTACACTACGGTACTGCATTGTATTGTATAAATGAAAAGGAAACCATCTCTTGATTAAGCGTTATATTCCGTCAATACGTATTAGCGTGTGTAAAATTTGCCAGGATTTGTGGTAATATTTTAGACGATTGGTTTAATGCTTTTGGGATATATTTAGTTTCATGATGAATTAATATCCTAAATTTTACTGACATTTATTGAAGAATCTTTTTATTACAGTATATTTTTTCACATATTCTTGCTTAAGATTTAAATACCCTGTATCCATTTGTAATATTCTTTTCAAGAGTTGGAAAACTACAAAACACTACAGTACAGGTACACCACCGATTTTCCGGGAACTGATGGTCCGGCACCTCGTTTAGTCCGGACAAGATTACGAGAGGGCACTTAAAATTCCTGCGACTGTCAGACTAGTTTACTGGGAGATTCTTAGCTTATTTTGCTTACATTTAACCCTAGGTATGGCTTCAAAGAAAGGTGAGAGCATTAGTGGTGGTGTTTAATTTATGTTTCTAGTTGTCCATGGTGACTTAGAGACACGGGAGGTGTATAATTAGTGGGTCAGAGGTACAGTATATTGCTGAATTATTATTACGTGATTTCGGTTGGTTTGGCAAAACGGATAATCCGGCAAGGCTTTGGAACCAAGGGTGCCAGAAAATCAGTGGTGTACCTTTACTTATTTTTTTCCTGGGTAAGTGACAGTTTTAGTTGAACATCTCTGAAATATAATTAGACTGTACTGTGAAAAGGTTAAGTTGAGCTTAAAATGTAACATCCAGAAATTGCTATAATCAGCAGGTGAAGTAGGCAGGGGAGGGGCTAATCTTCAGGTAATCCAATACATGTCCGTCAAACCAACATTTAAGAATCTTGACGTTTAAGTTAAATGTGGATTGTGTTGAAGATACTGTACTGTACTGGGTGTTGGTTATAAAAGACATTTACAGTACCCTGTATATTATGACTGCCACGCTGTTTTCAATATTTATCATAGCAGCATACTGTATATAGTTATTTATAATAGGTTTTTCTGCATTCATAAAGACATTGGGTTTAGTGACATTATGAGAACCATTAATAATAAATCTACACTACAGGATGGTCCATTCAAGTGAACTATAGTGAATAATAGAAAGTGAAAACTGAACTTACATTTATTTCCAGAATATGTTTAACAAGTTCACCTTCACTGTACATGTATCTGGACCATTTCAGTGACCCATCCTCTATGCTAGTTGCCTCCCCATTATTGTTGTTGTTTGTAAATCACCATTATATGTCCTGTATATGTAGTGAAGTTAATTGTCTCTTTCCACATATTGCACAAAATATAGCTTTGAAGGATGTGTTGCCTCTTACAGCTTCTACAAATTTTTAAAGATTCTACAATTTATGTTGTGAAAGGTCTACAAATTTTATGAAAGGGTTCCACAGATTTTAGTAAAAGTTCTACTAATCTCAGAGTAGGTTCTGTCATGCTACTCTTAATCTGTACTGAGAATTAACCTATGTGATAAACTTTAAATATATTGTTGGAATTATTAAATGTAGTGTAATCCTTTCATCTGTGTCAACTTACAGCTGATCAAGAAATGTGGGGACAGCTCAAGGCATTAGGCAGCCAGTAACAATGAAGGTATTTGTTTATATGTATTAGGTTTTTTTGGTACATGTTGAAACTGATTCACAAGTATTTTAAGCTGAAGGAGATTCATCAGTAATGTTCGAAGTACTTTAGAGAGAATTGTGCTTACTGATAGATGGACTTTATTATTTGGCATATCAACAGGAGGGTCATGTGCTTAACCCTTCAGGTGTCAGCACTTGGAATGCTATACTGTACAGTAATCTGAAGGTCAGTTTTGAAAATTAGAACAGCATTGTTTGAATGTTTGTTTTAATGTGGGATTGGTTTTCCAGGACTTGCATACAGGGTATATGTATATTATATGGGGCAGTTT